CAGACGGCCAAAGATTGCCGCCCCCCCCTTTTCTTACGACACGAAAACACGACGGCGCGAGCCCATAAACAAGAGCAGATAAACGCGTCCTCCTCCCCTGTCAGCTCAGTAAATGTAGGTTTTCGGCGACCTGTATGTCCGCCCTCTGCGCCTTCGTCGCGTGTTTGGTGATAATATTGCACCAACGTGCCCCCACGACGGTGAACGGTCCCCCAGCATACTCTCCCCTCGCATTCGCCCCAAACACCCCCAACCCCCTAATGGCTACTCAATGCTACAGCTCAAGGGATAGTTGTATGCTTACAAACAAACAGACGTTTGCTCATACTTTGATTGTAGTTGTGAAACTCGCAAGCTGACATCTCAACACTTTCTACAACACGAAACGAGGAAACTTTCACTATTCAGTGAGATACGGGCTCAACTGCCACCAAATAAGGCATAAACAGTCACACTTGGGGTACATTACAGCATAATGCAGGGGTTAAATTAAATTGCATGTAAGAACTGTTCTTGGGGAAAGAAATGGCGCATTTGTAAAGAAGTGTAATGATTTCAGGGGCATCCTTTCAGAGGAGTTCAACTGTATAGCTATACACTACTGTGCATTTCTCATGTACACACACACACACAAAGAAAGAGATCATGCGTTAGGAATGCAGGCAAAGAGCTATTCCCATCCATTTTTGGCTCTCTCTGTCCACCTGTCCTCCTCTCAACTCAATAGTACTTGGCTTCTGGAGCTTCTTACGCCACTCTGAGTCTTAGTGGGCATAGTACCATGGAAACACATTACCATGGCCACCTAAATCTAAGTATAATAGTACCAAGGCAACTCATCCCCATGGCAATCATCGCCATGGCAATCTATAAACTCGTGCATATGTATATACCAAGGAAACACATTACCTAAATGTAGTATATAAATGGACTGAAGGGATTAGGTAATGACTCAGAAGTTGTGGTATATTTCGTCTGACTTCTGCCAATTTGGCTTAGAGGAAAGGCTCTTAGACTGGGAGAGGGGAAGAAGGAATATAGAGAAGGAAGCGAGAAAAGGGGTAATAGATTGTTCTTTGGATGAGAGGTGGAAGAGAGAGAGAGAGGGGGGGAGGGGGTAACATTGTTCTCCTAATTTGGCTTGTTAAGACGGAGAGAGAGGGTGAGAGAGGTGAGTGAGGGAGAGGGTCATGGTATACCGGATATCACAATGCAGCAGTCCCGCCCAGTTCGCTTCATGGAGCGGTAGGCTGCGTCGGCCAGAGCAAAGATATGCGGCTCTCTTTCATACATCTCTCTTCCTCGGTAATCGTCCACGTACTGAGTCTCGTACACTGCCATCTGCTTGTAGGGGTTGACAGATACAACTACCTCACCTGTTCATAGAGAAGGGGAGGGGGAGAAGAGATATGAAAAAGGTGACAACTGAATTTTCTGAAGTTAGTATGGCTTGGGGCTGTAAGAATATCATAGAAAGCAGCTGTCAGCAAGTGGTGAGCAGGTGTCTTAGACAAAAGTTGGAGGGATCATATCAGTGATGTGGTGGTGTCCGCCGGCGGGCTCACCGATGTAAGAGTAGATCTTTCCCATTTTGAACCGGAGTTTCAGGTTCTGCATGAAGGCCTCCTCCGTGAGCTGGTCCAGCAGAACAAAGTCCGTCTTCCCATACTCGGTCGAGCTGAAGGAGGCCATGCTTCACTTCTTCGCCTAAAGGTCCCTGGCGGCGAAGTTGAGGGAGCTGCGCACGCACAGGTAAAGGCTCCCTCGCGGACTCCACCAGCGGCTTCTTCGGTAGAACTTCCCGAGGCTAGAAGCGATTGCTTGTCCTCTCTTGCACGGAGAAACACTTCCGAGTTCCGACCCACGCCCTGTTCCCGGACACGCTTTGACTCGAGGAATTTACATTGCGCATGCGCAATTACTTTGCCACAACTGCGCATGCCCGTCTCGGCCTGCGTAAAAACGGTTCGTGTGCATGTCGGGTGCAAGTCGAGAGGTTTTGCGACTGTACCGCGCCATTCTGCGACGTGGAAACGGCCTCGAGTACACCGACAAAGACTTCTTCAGAAGCGCGGTGCGACTCGAGTTCAAAAAGTGCTCACGTGACACCCAACCCGAAGTGGTCCTACGAAATATCGAGGTGAATGCATCGATAGCTTCTCTATCACCGTTTTACTACTTTCTAATTATCCAACAGAAAGCAAAGTATTTCCTTCAATCTAACTTGGGTGGACTGATTTGATGTGAAAGTGTGCTGCTAATGACGCATGCGCAGAATGGAACGCAGAAACAACCGGAGACGATAAACTGAAAATGAAATCTGTTGCAAAACACACAGTGATATTATTTACTCAATGATACACTATAATTATACACTAATGGGCTATGGATGGAGCTCAAATTCGGCCCAGATGCCAAGGTGGTCACTGGGGTGCATGTCACCACACCTCTGCACCTTGTCCCTTCCCACGACCTGGAAGAGCGAGGGGACCAACTTCACGTCTTGACTGGCGCAGCACAGCAGCCGATCGAGTCGAAATCGCGGCTCACTCGAGTCCCAAGTATACTTCTCGCTGTAGTCGGACCCACACCTCTCCCAAACGTCATAGAAATCGTCGGGCAGTCCGCAAATCTGTGCCAGTTCCTTGTCCATCAGGTTGAGATCACCTCCAAGTATAGACGTCCCTCTTGGCTCCCTCCCTAGCTCCTCTTTCATTATCCGAAAACACGTCCTCAGCTGGTTTTTCCGCTCTCCTGCGTATCTTACCAGACTCTCTAGGTGAGAGGTTAGCAGGAGAATGGGGATGCCCCTGAAATTAACACGCATTTGGATTAGGTAGCGTTTCTGCTGACTCTCGGGGAAGCGGAGGATTTCGGGGTGGTTTGATTTGGGTACGACTGCAGAGTTCTTCCTGATTAGCAAGACACAGAAATAGTGCCACGAGGTGGCAATTTCCTCATCGCGGTAGAGAAAGTAAGCGTTCCCTAATCTCTTGGTCAGGAGGTTCCATGTAGGACCCACTATCTCTTGCAAATAGACCACCTCGGGCTTCCGTTCGTCGATCACGTCGCACACAACTGCGGCCCTCTCATTGGTGAACTGCCCGCACAGTCCGTCAATGTTCCAGGAGAGAATGTGGAGGGTGTTGGTGTCCGTTTCACCTCCATGTGACGCTCTTCTTCTGACACTCTGAGCAACCGATTCAGCTGGAGAACTGCAGAAGAAACGGGAGAAGAAACAGAAACCAATGTAGGACATTCCATTGATGTAGACAGCTATTTGCATAATGAAAGGTTTCCATTGCTATAGTTAAGAGTTTCAATTAGCCATAGACGTGGTATATGCATACATAGTTACTTCACTCTGGCTCTCAACTATAAGCTGGGCTTCGGGAGGTGCCGAAAAGAAGCCACAAAACTTGTACTTGACGCGTTAGTTACGCAGCAAAAACTCACCTCAGATTCCCCATGATGGCCGAGCTCTTGTAAAAAAACCCTCTGCCATAACATTATGAGCTCCCAAATGTTTCCATTTGAGGATAAATACACACATGAGATCTCCGATCGACCGGCCAGCTACCACTCTACGAGCCCCACCCGAACTAAACTAGGGTGCGCGCGTATGCGCATGCGCATACCACGTGAAAGAGGTCTGCGCGGTTTGCAATATCAATCTGCACCGGCCGTCTGAGCATGGCAGAAGGAGGTTCTACCAGCAGGTGTGTTAGATTACAGGTGTACCTCTATTGGTCACCACACACAGAATCTAGGTTTGTGCAGGGGTTGGCATGCTACTTGTACATGTTGACATACTACTTGTACATGTTGACATGCTATTTGTACATGTTGACACGAATGATAATGTATACATCTGCAGGAATGCTCTGCGACTCCTATCGTGGAACATTGACGGTCTAGACGAGCGAGACTTGGAGGAACGAACCACCGCAGTCTGCCAGTCTGTCTTGCTCAAGCAGCCCCATGTCGTCTACCTCCAAGAGGTCATCGCCCCCACTCTATCCATTTGCAGCGGAAACTGCCAAACTACCACGTCTTTGCCCCCAGTGTCCCGCCGGAGCCCTACTTTGTGGCGATCCTCGTGAAGCGAGATCCTAGCGGAGCCCTAGTGGCTGGGTCGCTCACTTCTCAGTCTTTCCCGGGGAGTTACATGGGTCGCCAGTTAATAAAACTGCCCCTCTCGTTTCACGGCTCTGATTATCTTCTCCTCACCTCACACCTGGAGAGCATGAAGGACTATTCGGCCGAGAGAAAGCATCAGCTTCGTGCAGCGTTCGACGCGATGCTAAAGGCAAGAGGCGAAGGGAAGTCCTGTATATTCGGCGGGGACTTGAACGTACGTGAAGCAGAGGTAAAAAGCGTCAAAGTCCCCGATGGGGTTTTTGATGCCTGGGAGGCATGCGGGAGCGACATGGAGTCAAAGTTTACTTGGGATTTGAAGACGAACGACAACCTCAACTGGCCTTATCCCAGCAGGCCACAGGCAAGATACGACCGGGTCTACTGCACGTCTCCTACTGGTGGGACGCTGAGACCGACGCACTTTGAACTGGTGGGGCAAGATCGTTTGCACGACTGCGGCCGTTTCCCTAGCGACCACTGGGGAATGTGGGTGGAGTTTGACACCTGACTTATCAAATGACTCTGTTTTTGGGATTGTATCGATGATGTAATTGTGTGTAATCTCTTTCAGCCTCCCCTTTCCAGATTTTTTGGAAAACAGGCTGATATGTATAATCACTCTTGATTCCTGATAAACTTTGAACCTTCCCTTGAAAAATCCCTTTGCCAGCCACTAGGGCTTATCTTAATTGAGTTGTTATCAGATATCCTGTCCATTGTGGACTTGTGGACTTGTGCTTTTGCGTGTTGTGGGGGAAACTTTTCCCCAAACCTTCCTGTACACACACAGTTCCCGAAAATGAAAACAAAAAACGGTTCCTTTCATTTTCTTTGGGAGTCATTTTTAGAAAGTCTGTCCCTATGTGCTACATACATGTTGTTATGGGCAAACTCTGCAGGATCTTATGCACCCACAACAACCCGTGATTTTTGGTTTGCATGGTGTGGCTTCTCTTGGGAGTATTCATAAGTGGCTGGTAGACAGTCCTCTGTTGGGGGGCAGATTCATAGAAACCATGTGACCATTTTCCGCTAACCCGCATGCATTTCATAAAGTCTAAAACTGTGCGTTTGTGTGGCTGTGTAATGTATGGCTTCGTAAGGTCTAAATCAATGTTCCTGTGGCGGTGTATAATCTATATATGTTTGTGTTGGTCATGGCACATGTGTGAAGTATCCTTTCCCCACACATGCTTTTCCAAAATCTCTCCCTTTAGTGAAAACAAAATTTTGTTCATGTAAATCGAGAGTAAGAGTTAAGTAGTCCTAAAGTTCATGTACGTGTCATACAATCTAGACAAGTTTTAAGTGTCTTGAGCTTTTCTCTCTAAACCCACTGGTATTTCTTCCATTTGAAGATGGGTGGTTGCTTGAGGAGGAAAGGGATGGTTTTGCCTTGCTGGGTACAAGTACCAGCCGAGACGTCGCAGGTATAGCCATTTTGGCAGCAGTGTACTCCGTCACTGCAACAGACGGCCTTAGGGTAAGGACAGCAGCCCCATTGCCCACTGCTCAGCTTGCAACACGTATTTCCATCAGGGCATTCGCTTTGGCCGTCCGGACAAACGACGTTGCGTACTTTCGACTCGATTTTTGTGAAGAGATCGATGGTTTTGCCTTGCTTGGTGCAAGTACCAGCCGAGACGTCGCAGGTATAGCCACTTGGGCAGCAGTGTTCTCCGTCACTGCAACAGACGGCGTTAGGGAGAGGACAGCAGCCCCATTGCCCACTGCTCAGCTTGCAACACGTATTTCCATCAGGGCATTCGCTTTGGCCGTCCGGACAAACGACGTTGCGTACTTTCGACTCGATTTTTGTGAAGAGATCGATGGTTTTGCCTTGCTTGGTGCAAGTACCAGCCGAGACGTCGCAGGTATAGCCATTTGGGCAGCAGTGTTCTCCGTCACTGCAACAGACGGCCATAGGGAGAGGACAGCAGCCCCATTGCCCACTGCTCAGCTTGCAACACGTATTTCCATCAGGGCATTCGCTTTGCCCGTCCGGACAAACGACGTTGCGTACTTTCGACTCGATTTTTGTGAAGAGATCGATGGTTTTGCCTTGCTTGGTACAAGTACCAGCTGAGACGTCGCAGGTATAGCCATTTTGGCAGCAGTATACTCCGTCACTGCAACAGACGGCCTTAGGGTAAGGACAGCAGCCCCATTGCCCACTGAACAGCTTGCAACACGTATTTCCATCAGGGCATTCGCTTTGGCCGTCCGGACAAATGACGCTGCGTGCTTTAGACTCGATTTTTGTGAAGAGATCGATGGTTTTGCCTTGCTTGGTGCAAGTACCAGCTGAGACGTCGCAGGTATAGCCATTTGGGCAGCAGTGTTCTCCGTCACTGCAACAGACGGCGTTAGGGAGAGGACAGCAGCCCCATTGTCCACTGCTCAGCTTGCAACACGTATTTCCATCAGGGCATTGGCTTTGGCCGTCCGGACAAACGACGCTCGGTAAAAACGGAGATGCGGAGACAGCCGACAGAAGAGCAAGGGCAAGGAGAACACGCATCGTGATCTTCGCGCAGGCTGACAGGCACAACTGCGACACAGAAGGTATATAGGGTTGAGTGAGTAGCTGTCTGCTGCACGGTCGATCGAGCGGTGAAATCACGCGTGTTTTCGAGCTGCGGTTCTGTCATCGATCATGTGACGATCCCAACACTACGCATGCGCAAGCGCTTCTTCGGCTTTTTAACCCTCGGCGCGCATGCGCAGCGAGGGTTAGGGTAGTTGTCCTGTCTGATCTGTCTGTCTGTCTGTTACCACGTTTTCTGCCACCGCGCGCACGAAATCAGGTAAATAGCGAAATGATCGGGTTCAGTGCTACACTGGGTTGATTTTAAAAAAGGAGATTTTCGTAAAAGTTATGCCGTGAAAACCAAGTGAACAAGCCAATATGTAAATTAGCACAGGCTTACTTCGACCGCGTCCGTTCGCTCTGTGTGTCTTGAAGGCACAACAAGTCACAACGAAGGGTATGTATCGACTCCTGCATGCTATTTACTACTGTAGCTAGCCCGTGTTAGACTCTCCGCGAGTTACTAGCGGGATACCACGAATAGAGGCATAAAAAGCCCAGCCCATCAATTAGTGGTACCGCACATGCGCAGTTCGCCGAGGGTTTGCACTTTAGTGCTTTTCATTTACTTTTCACTGAATCGTTGCATAGGACTTGATGACTTGCTCGACGCCAAGAAACGAGTCCAACAGTTCCTGTTCTGAGAGCCCGTTCTGAAGGTATTGATGCACATAGGCCCTGGAAGTGTACATCTGCCAAGCTTTCCTACATGCTGTATCTAACGGACCAACGCAACCTTGACTGTTGCTCAGGAGCGTGCAAGACTTTTCGTACTTGTTGAAAGGGCGTCTACTGCACCACACACGGCAGGATACATCCGGAGGAGCCCACTGACAGTACAGAGATCGATCAGAAAAAATAGACTTTTCCACACTTTCGAGCTCATTTCCCCTCAACGACCAAAAGATTCGCAAGTGACTTGTTCATCCCCCTTGATGTCTGGCGGGCACGTCTGTTCGACTCTCCCTCAGTTTCATAGGTGAAGAAAGGCAGTGACGAGTCACCACTACCCACAGTCCAGTCCATGCCTTCTTCAATGGGGGCATCGCACGCGAGCATCTGCCGCATGTGTTTCAGGAGACCCGACCAAAGGTAGCGAGTGTACGCCTGCGATCGCTCCGGCATCTGTGGAATGCTTTTCAGAGAGAGCATCTTGAAATCGGGCGAGGGGCAGAGATGTGTCTGTACATCTTGCAGCAAGCACTGATTGAAGAGGAGGGGACTAGGGCTTTGCTTTGTTAGAGAAGGAAGACAGGATATGTCAAACGAAGGCTGAAGTAAACCGGCGAGGGAATGGCTGATGATTCTGTTGAGGTCGGAGAAGGATATGTCTTTGAGAAGCAAAAGCTTCGATGCGGCCTTTTGGAGTTGAGTCGTTTTGCAGAATAATCACACAGTCTGACGCTTCTTGTAAGTGCTTGGTCGTCAGGACCGCGTTATAGTCTTGGACTATTACTTCGCCAGAGGCGTACGGCCACACGATGGCGTTCATTACAGCATTGCTTGGGAACTGATCTCGTAGGCATTCGGTGAGGTATGACCCGACACCAGAACCCGTTCCTCCCGCCACGCTCATCAAGACTAGGAACCCGCTCAGTTGGTCGCATTTCTCCGCCTGAGACTGAACCATCTCCATGATTGGCTCAGCGGCCGAGGGCCCGCGGCTGTGGTAGCCGCTTGCCCAGTTGTTTCCCGAGCCGCGCTTTTGCGCGTGCACGCAGGTGGCGTCGTACGACCAGCGTCCGGTTTTGTCGGCCTCGGCGAGGGTCTGATGAACGGCCTTTGACTCCATGTCCACCAGAACTGCGCGGGCTCGCAGTAGATCATGAGAGTTCGAACTTCGCGCGGTTTTCCCGCGGCGGGCGTCGAAGAAGCGCGAAAGAGAGACTTCGCAGTACGCGTCGGGGGAGGTCGACTTCCGTACGGCGGGCGCACTCAGAGCGTCTTCGTGTAGAGTAGTGAAGAGCTGTCGACCTATCTGGTTGCCGCATTGGCCCAGCTGCAGAGTGATGACCGACATCGCTCTCCTAGCTCTCTCTCCCCCCAGCTAGCTAGCCAGCGGTTTTTTTTTAATGCGCATGCGCGTTACACGGTGCCAAAAGTGGGTGGAGCTATCGTAAGAAGGTGCGCACTAAATAAACTGCGGAGTCACTTTTCCTCTAAAAGTGAGCCCTTTAGTGGATGGCGGAGCTGTTTAGCACCGGCGAGAGCAGCAGTGAGGAGGGATGGGACACGGAGGACAGCTGGGGGGGTGAAGAAGGAAGGTTGCGAGCTCGCGGGGACGGCGTAACCCCGCGAAACTCGTCTCTTATTAGTAGTTCGGGGTTGTCAGCCATGAGCGGCCCTCCTTGTGGGACTCTCCGTCTCGACAAGACGCACGCCATGGTCGGAGACTTGGTGGGCGTTTATTGGGACATTCCCTCGGTTCAAACCAGCGCCAGTGACTGGATAGCCGTTTATGAGAGGGGTAAGTATATAAATATGTCCCTCTCTTTCTCTCTTCTAATGAAACACTGCTTTCATGCAGGTGAAGAAGACATTGAGCAGTACCTGGATTATCGCCTTCGTGGAGAGTCTCAAGACAGACATGGTCACGTGACATGGAATTTGGACCACAATCTCTTCGAAGCAAGTCAGTCAAAAATCCAACACACTTTCCAAACAAAATAACCTAAAGACCTCACTCTAAACTTTTCTGGTAGACAACTACCAAGCAGGTTTCATCCCCCATGTCTCTCTCTTTCTCTCTCTCTCTCACACTCTCTCTCTCTCTCTCTCTTTACCTGGACTGCACAGGTGAACAGACTGACATTTTCTTTGCCATTTTCCAAGCCAACAACTCGTGTCTGGCCCGCAGCTCAATGCTAACTGTGACTAACAGAAACTTCTCGACCAGCAGTCAAGTGCTATTAGCTCCACAATCTACTGAGCCTTGCACCATTAGGATTGAAGGTGACCTCCTTACAATAAACTCTCCAACAGTCCCAAATAGGCTGTTTCTATTCTTCTTTATGTGTACACTAAATGTCACTAGGGCAAACGTCAGTAATGCCACGTTAATGTTCGCAAGATAGATAGTAGCAAACAAAATTTATGATTTGTGGACAGGGATCAATTTGAAATCTGCTAAGGTTTTTAATTCCGAATGTTTAGGTTTTCTCATTTATAAGGGTATTGTATGAAGCCAGCTTATATGCTTACTTTATCTACTCCCTTTCAATCTGTCATGAAACAGAAACATCATGTGTGTGTGTGTGTGTCGTTGTATGGCAGGTATATTTTGTAGCAACTTGCGAACAAAGCTGTTCGGAAAACCCGACCCCTTTCTGAAGATGGGCGTGGTCCCGGGACCACGCCTACTTCGCGCTGCCTGCCACGCCCAGAGAGTTGTCACCGACCCTTGTTTCGGCTCAGTCCACCCACAATGGATCCAGGTATGGAATTATCTGTTACCCCGACTCTTGGTTTGGGAATCGTTTTGTCATCAATTAGAATGTGCTACTTATGTTCCGGGCAAACTTAACATTCACTAAGTCTGTACATCAATACTTCTTTGAAGAATATGTCTTCTTTTATTCAGTCGTACGAGTTTGGAGTCGTGTCCACTGACGTTCTAGAGATCGATGTCAGAGATAAATTTGTGGCTAGTCGGCCATCTTTCACCCATTTCCTCGGCAGAGCCAGGATCCCCGCCTCGCAACTACTGAGACGATCATCCGTGTAAGAAAATATCTCCCTCTCGCCTTTTTTCTGTTTTACAAGTGTCTTTTTGTGTTTGTATAGAACACTGACTCTACCGCTGCAAAAACGGTTACCGAGCGATCGAGTTACAGGGACACTTACTTTTACAGTCACTCAACCGACAATAATGGCTGAGGAGAGAGAGGAGAGAGAGGGGGGAAGGAGAGGGGGAAGGAGAGGGGGAGAAGATGAGAGAAGAGAAGAGGGAGGAGAACAGAGAGAGGAAGCAGAACAAGCGACCAGCAATGAGACAGAGAGTTCAGCAGTTACAGAGTCATCGATTCAAAATCTCCCTGGACCAACTGCCACTCATGAACCTCCATTGTCTCTGGCTGGTGCCGAGCAATTGGAATTGGCGGGGGCGACCCCTCTCACAGCAGCTGCAAATGACTCTCTCCCTCTGTCAAGACAGCTGTCACACGACCCACAAACGAAGTGAGATTTATAATTTCCACATTGTATGCATGTGTATGCATGTGTATGCATTGGCAAACAAAAGTATGTCTTCTTATTTGCAAGAAGTTGCCAATTGCAATTGAGTTTACATTAAAGTTAGCAGTGTTTCTGAAATTGTGACTGTGACAACTGTTCTCTTTCAGTTCTCGTCTGAACCAGATCCGCAGCCAGTTGTGTGGGCGTGGCCTCCAGCGAGGGTCTCAGTCTCTCTACACGCGCTCCCCGGCCCACCAGCGTCGCCTGCAGTTCACCGTGTCCCTCTCCCCCTCCCCTCCCCTCTCCTCCTTTCCTCACATCCGCTCCTCAACGAACACTCTCAACTAAGTCTCCCACCCAGTCAGTTTTTTTTACACTTTTGTAAAAAAAATTTATATATACATTTTTTTCAGACTTTGAAGTATCAGTTGAAGACATCAGTCACTTCGTAAGAAGGTTAGGTGTATGATTTTTGTGTTGGTAATTTTTTTGGTGTGGCTCCTAAAATTTTAGGTCTGATCGAAATATTTTGTGTCGTCAACCAAGTGATCCGTTCATACTTTCTGATCACCCCACCCCGAACCTTGTACTCCGTCGGAGTAACACTACTCCGTCACGCTCCTCCCATACGAAGATCCCTCGTCCTCAATTTTACCAGTTAATTCTTCTGCCACCATGGTGAACGTTCTAAATAGAGCCCACCAGCTCTCAAGCATTGAAGAGAAAGAGGGACGAGAAGTGGTTGTAACAACTGAGGAGAGGCGAGAGCAGTGAGGGAAAGAGACACAGAACAAGAATAGAGGAGAACAACACCGAAAGAAGAGAGAGAGGATCGAGGAGAGAGGGAGGAAGGAGAGAAGAAGATAGCGAGAAGATCAACAGGTGCGGTGGCCCACTAACCCGTATTTCCAGTGTTGATCCTGAATCGAGGACTTCCAACGCTTTCACTTCACAAACACACCAAGTTCCTCACTCGACCAGACCTCTACCAGTTTGCCAAGGTTCGTACCGGCCGTTCACCTCCGTTGACCTATTTCCCATTCCTTCATTCACCCATTCGTTCATTCCCCATTCTCCAATTCCAGGAGACGAACAGACGACGGAGGTCCGAGTCGGACAGACACGCGATCTGAGTTTGGTTCAGACCATTCGCAGCGACCACTCCCAGTTCCCTCGATACCAGCACAACTCGAAGCTCGTGGCACTCCTCAACAGCTTCGCCAGGACCGAGTGTGAGCTGCCGGCTGGCTGGGAGAGACGCAAGGACACCCGAAGCGGACGAGTAAGTTTTCTTTTCTTCTTCCCAATCATCTTCTCATTCTCTGCTAATTTCTGGGTTACTGTATTAATACATCAAAATGGTATATAATATGCAGTGTGTAGTGCAAATATTTACCTTTATTGAAAAGAAGGGTGTCGTAAACGTTTTGTATAATCTTTTAGCAAACGATTTGAGGAAGAACAGGCAAACTAACCATCGTGAATATATTTACGTTGACTACATCATTCTTTTTGTGTGTCCCCCCCTCTCTCCCTCTCATTCATCAGGTGGTGTTTGTTGACCACCATACCCAGCGCACCACGTACATAGACCCACGACTCCCGTATCCTGGCAACAATCTCTCCATCTCGTCGACCTCAGTCAGAGGAGTTGCCGTGAGTGACAGTTTCCTGAGTGTTTTGTTGCTCTCTACGTACCCAGCAACCTTCGGAATATGCAAATTGAGACTCGGCAATGGAGTAGATCTTTTGAGTTTGGTGCATTTCACTTGTTAGGCGAAAACTGTATCATGCACTTTTGCAAACTCCTTTTTATGATCGACCAATGGCTTGTCTTTATCTCAATGTACTTATTCAGTCCCATAAAAATGTAATAGAAGATTTCTGTTATCGTTGCATGCTGTACTCGTTTTTATTATTTAGAGTCGCTCCAGGCCCTATGCCTCGCCAGACCACCAGCCGCAGCCTCGCAGAAGGAGATCACGTGATCCAGCTGCCCCTTCCCCCTCCCCCGCCCCTCCTCCCCTCCTCCCATTCCTCCCCGTCCTCCCCACACTCTCATCGACACCGACTCTCCTCCCTCCACTTCCCAAAGTAACCACACATCACATGTTGATCACATGACATTCGTATGAGGTCACGTGACATTTCACTGAATTTTTGTCAGATGTGTGAGGTCACATGAAATTTTGTTAAAGTCACATGACATTCATGTGTTGCCACATGACCAGGTTATTCGGAGAGGGTGGTGGCGTTTATGAGTCAGCCGGGAGTCATGGATGAGATCAGGACTCGCTACTCTGAACCAATTACCAATGAACTGAGGTATCAAAAGTGTTTTGGTCAAATTTTACCCCAAAAAAAATATTTTCGCTGTCTTTTGTAAATGACATGTATGCGTGCAGGTCAGCACTGGAGAGTATAAGAACTAACGGAGTGGCGGAAATGGTGAGACTGCAAAACGAAGAGGAGACCCTGTTCTTAGACATCATGATTATCATCAGGTGAGCAGCTGATAGTCATGTGATCGTTGCCTTGGTTACCGTGTTTTTGCTTGCAGTCTGTTCGACGAGGAAATCTCGCACAATATTTTTCCAGTGGCATCCTCTCCCCCTCCTCCTCCTCTCCTTCCCTCTTCTCTCCCTCCCCCCTCCTCCTCTTCTTCCCTCTTCTCTCCCTCCCCTCTCCCCCTCCTCCTCCTCCTCCTCTCCTTCCCTCTTCTCTCTCTCCCCCTCCTCCCCCTCCTCCTCTTCCTCCCTCTTCTCTCCCTCCTCCCTCTCCCCCTCCTCCTCTTCCCCATTCTCCACTTCCTCCATCGCTCGCTGCCTCTATCGCCAACCTAGTGCGAACCCCTCACTCTCCCCCCTCTCCTCCCCCTCCTCCCCCTCTCCCATTCCAAAATCCTCCAACACGAAGACACTGGTCTCTAGAAACTCCGCCCACCACACAAGCCACGCCCACTCACACAGCTCAAACACAAACATTGACAGAGAAGCTCACACGTGTAAGTCTGCAATATTGACCGTAAATTTTTTAATCCCAAAATTTAACTCTCTTGCAGTTGCTAGTGTTCCAATTCAGCGTATAATGGAGTACATGCGCTCCAACGATGCATACCGGTTCTGTTTGAATGAGTTCAGAACGTTCTCAAGCAACCAGCAACTTTTCTTCGCCACTTTTGACTCTGGGTCCAGCGTGTCTTCGGTTGAAGAAGCACTTGCCGACAGTTCTGACCTCAGGAACTTCACCAGGTGGGTTGGTCCCATTCCCATGATCCCACGTTTACATTCCTATTGTGTGGTCTCATTCCCGTGATCCCATGTTTCGTTCCAATTGTGACGTCTCATTCCCGTGATCCCAGGTTTTCATTCCTTCATTCCATGTAGGAGGATGTTGCCTGGTGTACTGGGGGAAAGACACTCAACTCCTGTCATTTGTGAGTTTATTAGCATGAACAATAGCGAGCTCTTTCTTTTCCACTTTTACTGAGAGAGTCAATAACTACGTTTTTTTTAGCTTTTATTGATCTCTCCCTCTCCTCCATCAGTACCAAGTGCACGAGAAGTCGGTAGATTTTTCTCGAGACCCGACCTCGACTCGTTTCTGGAGAGCCTTTCGCCCGAGGACAGAGCGGTGGCAGCCGAGATCAGATCGTCCAATCAGATCGCAGCGAGAATGATCTGGGACACCACATGGAGCGGCCTCATCAGGTACACATACATACAATGTCTGTACAAATTCTCTTGCTACTTGTGGCAGTACATTTAGAGGAAGAATGCAATTAAGATTCTGTTTTTTAACAGTCTCTGAATTAATGTTGTCTCACTATAGGAGATATTCAGATGAAATTCGAAGCTACCGATCACCAAATCAAGGAACTAATTTTCCTCTTGGCTTGGACTACTCTCCCCCCTCTTCCCCTTCCTCCCCCTCGTCCTCGTTAGGTTCCTCGCCACGCCTCTCTTCCTCCGTCCCCTCCCTCCTGCCGTGGCCGGTGAGTCACATGATCGTCATGTGACACTTGTAAGCCAGTGTGTGATTGTCATGTGATTACAGGGGCCAGAGGGCGAGCGTTTATCGAAAAGCTTCAAGCTCTGCAGAGAAATTTGGAGCGGAATGGATATGCATCTTCAGACCATAGGAAATTGGAGTAGGTCTAAACGAACAAGACTTGCTGGTGTCCTTACATCTCCCTCTCTCTCTCCTTCTCCTCTCTCTCTCTCTCTCTTCTGTTTCTCCCTGCTTTCTTTCTCCCCTCCCCCCTCCTTCCTCTCTTTTTCAACCCTCTCTCTTGTACACAATACACAGAGTAAGTATGAGAAGGGAGCATTTACTAGAAGATGCTTTCCGTTTTCATCATGGGTACAAAGGCCGACCGATTACGACGAAAGAAATGCAACATTACGTGGGACACGGAAGAGGGGTAAGCACACACATACTGTCCTGAAGCGGTGTCCTAAAAGTGTGTCCTGATACCACAAACCCGTCCTGAAACAGGCTCGACTACGGCGGACCTCAGCGAGAGTTTTTCTTCAAAATCTCTCGTCTCCTCTTCAATCCCTTCTACGGTCTGTTTGAGTACTCCGCTCAGGGCTCTTACACCCTCCAGATATGTCCCCAGTCCATTCACATCGCCGATGCCCTCAAATGGTACGGAACGGGGGACTAAATTTTGTAATGATGTAATGGTGATGTCATTTTTTAAGGTTCCGATTTGCCGGTCGACTCGTGGGGTACGCTATATTCAGGGAAATCTGCTGGACGTTTTCTTTGCCCGTCATGTGTACAAATCTCTGCTTGGCCGGTATAATACTATATGTTTCTGTGATATTACAGAGGTCGAACCCCTCTCTAAGGACACCCCTGAAATGAGGACCCCTCTCTAATAAAGACTTTCTCTTTCCAAGAACAGTTCCTTTCAACCGCTGAAATAAGACCACCTCACTAATACTGTCCCATTGGTTTAGAGTAAACTGCATTCCATTTCCTGCGTAACTTGTCTTCCAGGGCTTACACAGTTCATGATATCGAGGCATTGGACCTGAGTTTCCACAACAGCCTAAAGTTTGTTCTAGAGAACGACCCTTCGCCTCTTGAGCTCAACTTTACCGTTCTGGAGGTCAACTTTGGAGAGGTGTGTCAAATCAATAAAGCACGAAATCTTGTTCATAGCTACTGTACTGTGTAGCGCATTAAAAAAATTCATAAATTTGCTGGCGTCGGTACAATGCGTCTTGTGGAATTCACACAGCTACTGTAAGGCAGATAAAAGGGAATCTCTCTTTTTGCGAGTGCTTTTGGCGAATGAGCATGTCACGCCGAACCAAAACTTCTCCGTACGAACCATTTCGAAGACAGACTTTCTGTCTCTCTGTTCAGATGAAGGAGAAGGAGTTGAAAGTGAAAGGAGGACAGGTGAGTGTGACGGAGGGCAACAAGACGGAGTACGTTGATCTGATGGTGCAGTGGAGACTGGGCAGGGGGATACACGAACAGACCAAGTCGTTCAGAAAGGTTTTTACAATTGGAAATTTTTGTGCTTCTTTGCATCAATTGTTCAGAATGCATGTGGCTTTAGATACAGTTCACTTGTGTGCAATTGCAAGGAGAAAAAGACGGCATTAGTTAAGGATTCACTGAAGATCTGAATTCGGAAACCCCCCCCCCCTCTCTTTTCTCTGTCCCTCTCTACACGCAGGGACTACTGGAGATGGTACCAATGGAGTATCTCTCAGAGTTTGACTCACAAGAGCTGGAGTGGGTCATTGCTGGCACTGCAGAGATCGACATGGACGACTGGAAGAACAACACGTCCTACTGGGGAGGTGTGTGTGTGTGTGTGTGTGTGTCGCCATGTAATGAGTGGGTGGGGTCTGGGGAAGAGAATAGGGGTGTGTCCCATAAATATCGTTGCCTGCCACAATCTCCGCCGCATAAGGTCCTATGAATACTATTAACAACCCACAATCATGCATGTTATGTTGTGTCACTGCTGCGTAATTGCAAGTCACCTAAATAGGCCATTCAGAGCCGTGAATGGACGTAAACACGCCATTGTGCCCTCGGTTATAGTTGTCAAACTGCACTGCCGGTGTGTCTCGCAGGTTACCATGCCAACAGCCAGGTTATCAGATGGTTCTGGGAGGTGGTTGAGGAATTCACTAACGAGCAAAAGCTGAAGCTACTCCAGTTTGTAACGGGGACATCGAGTATTCCGTTTGAGGATTCAGAGCTCTCCGTGGTTCCAGCACCGTCCAGCAGTTTACCATAGACATGTTGGATCTCCCAGGGCAACGGGCACCTCTCCCCATGTATGTCTGATTCTCTCTCTGGAAAAACGTTCTTCTATATTTGTTTGATGTGCACTTGGCTTGCTTTGACACCCTGTGCATTCATGTTATCTGCACTCTTCTCTCTCCGTCCCCCTCTCTCTCTCTCCGTCCCTCCCATAGAGCCCACACCTGTTTCAACAGGCTGGATTTGCCCGCCTACCAAACCAACAAAGACCTCCGAAACAAACTAACACTCGCCATTGAAGAATGCGAAACGTTCGAAAACGCCTAGGTTTAGACTATTAGCTCTAGTATGTCTCACATTTTTATACCACAAACGTTTTTTATATACCCCTCATAATAACACGATTTTCGCGCATGCGCAATGATTGCGTAGAATCTGCGTGTCGTAATCAACGGGCGTCTTTGTGTAGCGTGTGTGTGTCAGGACAACGGAAGACGCTTTTTCCCAGGCATGCCGCCGACGTCGAGAAAGAAGATGGCGTTGCTGGAGGGGCTGGACCAGTACTCGGCCTACTATTCAGTCATTTGCGTCTTCGGATCCGTGGTCGGCTGCGTGGTGGTCCCGCTCATAACTCAGGTATACGGGTTTCCGGGGTCTGGACCGCTCAGTCTCCGGTATAAAAAGACACTTGGAAACGTTCTTTTACGGTAGTGCGGTGTCTGACTGCATTTCCCGTGCCGTAGAAGGCGCGTTTATGTTTATTTGTGCCTTGTTCGGTTCTAAAAGCGTGTGTACGTACGTATACACGTACTGTAAATTGCCTGGACTACACGTACATACATACCCTCCCACATTTCCAGATATGTAAAGAACAGCCTCTTTTTCCCCTCTCTTCCCTGTTTCATTCCCTTCCTTTCTCTTTCTCCTCTCTCTGCCCTCTCTCTCCTCCCCCACTTCTCTATATCCAGTCCATCGAAGGGATAATACTTTCTGCCATAGTCATCAGTCTAACAGCTAAAACCATTCACAGCCGTTCGTTCAACTTCAGGGAAGAACCTACGGTAAGGCCTATACTTACACACCTTAATAAACTTCGTCCCTTAATAAACTGTCGTTGCATATGAGGGTGATTGCACTGCACTCTCCAGCTATAGCAGCTCCTAACTCCATCGGCCACTAAAACTGACGAAACGTATATAGTAGAGTGTTGGTCTGAAGTAACAAAAGCAGAGTTTATTGGGACTAACAAGGAACGTTGCTCAACAGGGGTTGTGTGCAAATACCTCGTCTGCAAACTTTTGAAACTTTCGTTGTGTCGTGGTTTATTTCGTGCCGATTGTTGCGATTTACCCCGTCTCCGTGGCAACACACCCTGGCCTCAATTGTTTGCACTCGGCGCAGGGTTTTGTGTACACGTTAAAATGATGAAACTGAAATCGGTAAACGCAAACAGAGCTTGCAAATCCATGTTTATGCGTCTTGTAAGTATGTGAGGTGTATGTGTACCACTAAGATGTGTGTACGTGTGTAACATGAACTTGTTGTTTGATTGGGGGTGTGGCTTGTTTCCCAGGACGACCGTAGACGTGGAGCGAAAGATGCTAGTATCCACGACAAACGGACGAAGAAGAAAAAGCTCCAGCCACCGTCAACAGTAAGTATACACGAAACAGTCCTCGTTTTTTCGTTGGAAAGTGAGTTAAGCCGTCCATTGTTGTCGTTTCCTCAGAGACTAGTTGACAGTGAGTTGGTCCGACGGCAGAGACAAGAAGAACTGATGAAACTACAAGAACAGCGAAACATAGAAAAGGTTGGTACATTTTATCATGAAAACTGGAGAAATGATTTTCACTGCAAACAGTGTGTCGATGGCTTTAAAATTTGGAATTCATGTACTTTTTTCGCTCGAAAGTTTCCCCATGCAATTTATGTATGAATGAATTTGCATTGTTGCTTCTTTTTTTTTCAGCAACAGAAATTTGAAGGGAAGAAGTTGAAAAAAGCTCGGAAGAGAGAAGAAAAGTTGAAACAGAGGGAAGAGGAAGAACGAGAGAGAGAGGTGAGAGGTGTTTGTTTATGTGGATGTGGCCTGTTGCTAAGGGGTGGGGACTGTCTTCGTGGTTACAGAGGGGGGCTCAGCAGCGGCGGGAGAGAGAGGAGAAGAAGTTGCAGCAGAAGCAGAAAAGGGTACCAACTGGAATGGCATGTTTGGAATCTGTGAGTCTCCCTCTCCATCCAGAATTTCGTATTTTCCCCGATCTCACTCAAAACTTGCGTTTTCCCCAAATTTCCCCTATCTCGCTCACAAACTCTTCCCAAACTCACTCCAAACGCTTTCCGCATCATTTCATACCCCCAGCTACAAGGTCTTTCCCTCCTCTTCTTACGTCTTCCTCGGAGTGTGTTAATTTATACTTGGCCCCTGTCTGCATGCTAGGAATCTCTGGTATGTGTATCCAGGAAGATTGGAGTGCTCTGGGTTCAGAGTCCAATGCAGGAATCTGATTTGTACATCCTTCACAAGATGTTTATAGTTAAAATTAATTTTCGCTTAGTTTGCAGTTTGCGACCTATCTCCATAAGTCCCATTTGCACAGTACTGTGTTGTAGAGTTGGCTTGCCATTAAATCTTGTCATTCGTGGGTTGCTGGTTGTCTTTGTTCCCAGATTGACTCTCCGTCTCGACCCCCGCTCACTCCTCCGAGGGAACGGAAGAACTCGTCCTCGTCCTCCGGCTCCTCGCGGTCCAATCGCTCCCTCCCTCGGCCACGCCCACCCAGGATGACACCGCGCGGAGGATTCTTTCGGGCGTCATCTGATTCGAACATCCCGGCTCCTTCTCCACCCCTCCCTCCCCATCTTCCCACCCCGATCAATGACCTCCCACCGCCTCTGGACTCGCTGGACCAGGTGGACACACACACACACACACACACAATAAAATACTGTGTTACAGTAGCTCACCTTTTCTTGCGTTCTTCGTTTTCCCACCATCTTTCCCCACTTCTCTCTCCTCTCTTCTCTCCGTCTCTTTGCCACAGCCCAAGCAAAGCTCGGGACAGCAAACTGGGCACAAGAAACAGAACTCTGCTGAAAAAGAGGGCGTGTCTCTCTTTCCAGACTCCTGTAATCAGGTCTCTAATAACAACCAGACTCTTCCTCGGAACCAACCCTCGCAAGTTTTCGCAGTTAACCCCTTGGCACCCAGCAAGGCTGTAATGACCACGGCAACGTCACTTGTTCCGGCACCCGGTACAGCAGCAGTGGCTGTAGCAGCTAAGGCGGGCTATAATTGGAATGAACATATCTACTATTGGTCTCTGGATCAGGCCGGACTAACAAGACCGCTACAGTATGGGTGGGACCCTGTCGCTCCGCCTCATAATTACAGCTCCGGACCTGTCGGTAGTAACTTACAGCTGCAGGTTGCACCAACGACAGTGTTGTGGGGTTCCAGGGGGGCCTTCTCAGCTCCTGGTTCGACCAGCACTCCTCCTACCCCTCCTTCCGCCACACGCTCTTCATTTGGTGTCATAGGTAAACTATCGACAACAACAACGCCTCCGCCCACTGATTTGTCATCGTCACGGCAACCCCCAAAAGAACTTTGTTCATCTTCTAAGGCCGAGAGTGACGGGAAAAAGACTGGTAATAATTGCGGGGGCTACTCTTTGTTTAGCAACGGTGGACAGACAATTTTCGGTGAGTCGCTTCTCAATGGACAAGTTTCTGGCAGACCTACTGTTTCCACGGAGACCTGTATGAGTGCTGATGATTGCTCCTCTAATGAAGGGGCTTCCCCACGGAAGAGAAGGTTCGATGAGTGGCCAGCTCTCTGAAAACCTGGATGTAGCATATTGTTACCATGGCAACTCAATGATAGCCACAGCAAATTTGACACGTTGGAAAATTATTATAGAAAAAAAACTGCCAGTGATTTCACTTGAAGATTTTTCCTTACTTCATGTTGGCGCATGCTCGCGTATGCGGGTGCAGCGAATTATGTGAGATGCCAGATGATGATGCAATTTGCGAGGTTCAGTACACACAAATTATCACACACGCTGCCCCGCGATATGTGCCGATCCATCTAGCCAGCGAGTCCATTCGACGGCATGCATGCGCTGCAACCAACCTTTGTAGAGCCAGCCTACGACGCAGATATTGGCAGATTAATAAATGTGTCCAGAGCTTCCATAAGTCCATAAGAATTTATACAAGGGGTTATAATACAGGGCGCTAATACTTTATATATACATCAATTTTAAGCAGATACCCATGGCGTCCAAAGGGTTAAGGCTACTCCTGAATGCTTCCGGTGGGGTAGTCAGAAAACTGTTTTTGATTCAGTCGCTCTCGAAGCCATGGTCCATACTGATTTGGCAGGTCTGTGCTGCACAGTGCAATTGCCTCCTCGCTAATGGGAGCTCCGTACTGAGTGATATCAGCATAGTAGCCAGGCTCTGCAAAGAAAGGAACAGAGAAACGCTCCACGCCGTAGTCGACGACTCGATGTCTGGTGGCTTTGAAACGACCCGTGGTCTTCACTAGAGCGTCTCCGGCATTCATGATGAGGCAGTCAGGTATGACCTCCACGTCACTCCAGGAGCCACCACCCTCCAGGATCTGCAGACCTCTGTAGCCAAACGTGCAGAGAAATGTCACAAACACCGTGTCTGTGTGCTCCAGACAAGACAAAACGTGCCCTTCTTTTCTAGCAGCTTCAGGTATCAGTCCCTCTCGGAGAGGGTAGTGCATGAGTCGCAGCGTGGACATTGGCTCGTGGAGAAAAAGCTCGTCGAAATAATTCTCCTCCTTCCCCAGACCGATCGCAAGCAAGTGTGCCACTTCGAGCAACAAGTCACTCATACTCTGGTAGTACTTTAGGACGAATTCTTTGAAATCAGCAGCACCGGACACGGAATCGGGCAGCCAGACGTTGGGCTCGTAAAAGACGTTCGAGAGTACGCAAGGATCGTCCTGGGGCAAGTCCAGCGAGAATTCAACGTTTTCTTTGTAGTCTGCCACTCCGGGAATGACGGGACAGTAGCCGTGGTAGCGATTGCTGTTTTTTGGGTTCCACTCTCGGCGAGCCAGAGACATACGGACATCCAACGGCAGCGAAAAGAACCACTCCGTATGCTTTAGTAGCTCATCTGTGTTCGTAAAAAAAAGGACAGTCCGTGTGTGTTCCGGGAAGCACCCATACCAGTGCAGCTACGCGGTTCTACCTGGGTCATAGCCCTGCACGTTCTTGATGTAAAGGAAGCCGGGATCTTCCAGTGCTGCCACCAACTGTTTCGCGGCCTCTCCACGCTCACCAGCCAGATCCAGCGTCGGGATAAACATCCTCCTTTACGTTGACAATGATGACGCCCCCTACACTACGAGTGACCGACCCCCACCAACTACTCACAGAATGGTCCAGGGGCGCATGCGCAAGTATATCTGCAGCGTTCCTGAGGACTGTGTGTAATGTCTATCCCGACGCTGGATCTGGCTGGTGAGCGTGGAGAGGCCGCGAAACAGTTGGTGGCAGCACTGGAAGATCCAGGCTTCCTCTACATCAAGAACGTCCAGGGATACGACCCAGGTAGCTCAGTATTACTTGTATTCTGATTTTCACGGCGTTCCGCTCCCACACAGACGAGTTACTGCGACACACGGAGTGGTTCTTTTCGCTGCCGTTGGATGTCCGTATGTCTCTGGCTCGCCGAGAGTGGAACCCAAAAAACAGCAATCGCTACCGCGGCTACTGTCCCGTCATTCCCGGAGTGGCAGACTACAAAGAACATGTCGACTTTTCTCACGACTTGTCTCCAAGTGACCCATTGTCCACCGATGAGCCGTTTTACGAGCCCAACGTCTGGGTACCCGATTCCGTGTCAGGTGCTAGTGACTTCAAGGGGTTTATTTTGAGTTACCACCGGTGTATGAGTGACTTGGTGTTCAAAGTGTCTCACCTGCTGGCACTTGGTCTGGAGAAAGAGGAGAATTACTTTGACAATTTGTTTGAAAAACCGCTGTCGACTCTGCGACTCATTCACTACCCTCTTCGAGAGGGAACGATTCCTGAGAGTGCAATAAAGGATGGGCATATTCTGACGTTCAAGGAACACACTGATACTAACTTTGTGACATTCATCTGCACATTTGGCTACAGAGGTCTGCAGATCCTGGAGGGTGGTGGCTCCTGGAGTGACGTGGAGGTCATACCTGACTGCCTCCTCATGAATGCCGGAGACGCTCTAGTGAAGACCACGGGTCGTTTCAAAGCCACCAGACATCGAGTCGTCGACTACGGCATGGAGCGTTTCTCTGTTCCTTTCTTTGCAGAGCCTGGCTACTATGCTGATATCACTCGGTACGGAGCTCCCATTAGCGAGGAGGCAATTGCACTGTGCAGCACAGACCTGCCAAATCAGTACGGACCATGGCTTCAGGAAAGAATTAAGAAAAAGAAGTTTTCTGACTATCCAGCTTTCAATCACACTGACTGAAGTATTTTGTGCTACTGGAATGCCGGTGAAGACGCATATTATCGTACTGTGCACCGATGCCCCTGCACACACAAAGTCTGCGCTAATTTCTTCTTACAGCGACACAACTGAAGATTTGCCAACATCTACATCACTGCTTCCACCACCACTTTCAGCCGCAATGTCTCTAGTTTGTTCCAGTTCTAAAATGTCGGCTGCAGTAAGTCCTTTCTCCATCAGCAGACGGTCCAAGTTTTCCAACTTTCTCTTCTCTTTAGCCACTGCCGACTCCAGACTTAGCATCTCTGTCTCCACGGCGACGGACTCTGCCCTCCGGTGCCAGAAGCCAAGGAAACGAGTCTCGAAATTTTCCTTGATATAAGTGAAAAGGCTCTGCCATTACACCCGTTCTATGCATACAAGTTCAGTGTATACATGCGTACTAATACTGGCGTCCCATCCATTAATGGGTGTCCTCATTAAAAAATTGGGACTGACTCACAAGTGTCCAGTTTTCAAACAGACTAGTCTTCTTTCCCTGGATATCTTCGCGGTATATCTGAATAGCCTTTCTCCTCCGCCACTCTTGAATCCAATCGTAGCCTGCCTGTGCACACAGTCCCATTCCCATTCCACCCAATGATGTCATCAGAATGGAACGGAGACCAAACCCTGCAGTAGAACAATAATCTAAGTAGCGGCGAAATTGCATCAAAAACTGCTTCACGAGAGAGGAGAGAAGCTAGGGCACCAGTTATTCCTCCACTGGTAAAGCTGCTGATGTAACCTGACCAGTCATTGAATGGTGGTGTAGATAGACTGGTGGAACTTTCTTCGGCAAATGAATATACTACTCTTCTTATGCCTGAAAAATAACGTTGTTAGACAATAGATACAACATGGAAATTGATTCAAACCTAGGAAGGTTCCAGATGCAATGGCGAAGTTAGCAGTCAATGACAGAGAGAGGGCATACAGTGGAGCTCTTCGATACATCGACACACCCCATCCTACCACACCCCCTACCACTCCTAGCAAATACGTCATCATTAGGTAATCAAAAACCTTTTAGTGAGGAATAATGTTACCAGAGGTAGCTGAGACTTGAAGTATGGGTATTACGACGTCCGGATGGCGCCTTAGCTCCCCGGAAGCTTTACCCCCGCAGAATCCTAACACGCCTTTACAAAGAGTACAGTGTCAGAACGAACTGAGCCTTCTCTTGTTACCTGCAACTGCAAGTTTTCTCCAGGCGATCTTCATTCTCAAATTTCTGGACTCCATTCGCTAAATTAGAAAGTCTTCGACCTCTGACCTCTCCTCGATCATCAAACAAAGATGGCTGAAAAACTGCGCTCCGACTACATGTCTGAAGTGGCAGCCAGGAACGCCTCTGGGCTCCAGAAAATAAAGGCTCTTCAGCGGCGGTTTCAGGTGAGAAAACTAGAGTTTGCATTATTGACTAAAACGAAAGACGGTGCTCTACAGACAGACGACCTGCTGTTTCTTCATACGAGGATGGACAGAAGAATATACAGGTCAGTGAGCCTTATCTCCATGTGGTTACCGTTTGCCTCTAGTTCTGTACAGGGACCCGTCACGGAATAAACGCATGCGCGGGGGAGTTGCGCGTGCGCTAATTGATGTTCCTTTACTCCGCCCCCCTCTACACATGCAGAGTCTGTATGGTGGCAAGCGTTGCAGCTATAGGAATCTCTCTGTTCAGTCTCTTCAGAATGGCAACTGGCCAAATGCCACCAAAGAGAGAATAGAACAAACTTCCAACACTAAACCACGTCACCCATAGTTCCATCATTGTTATAGCCAACCTCACTCTTGTGAAATGTTAGAAACCGGTTTGTTAAGCCGTGCACCTTACAATCTGCAAAAAATTAAGTTGGCTCCAAGTCAAGTTTTTTTTGGGATCAGTGGCCAAACAAAGCACACACATTTTCATTCAGTGCGAGTACATCATGTCATGTTTCATACACCAAAAGCACCAGATAATATCTTACAACACTTGGTAGAATAATATTGCTATGCAAGACATGCACAACCAAAAGGAAAAAAGACGTTATTATTATAATTTTTTGACCTAGCACTAAGCAGGCACATGCGTTACTTATGCTGCTGCTTCAGCTGCTGTGAGAGCCAATCAAGTCCCTCGTAGAGGCCGTCCCCGCTCGTTGCACAAGTCGCCTGGATGTACCAATTCCGGTTTCGGAGGGAGTGAAGGCCGAGCTTGTCTGTGATCTCGGCCGCATTCATTGCGTTGGGAAGATCCTGGTAGTAAGAGAGAGACGAAGATGTAGGGAAAGAGGAGATAAAGGGAAGGGAGAGAAGGGAATGTGCATCAATTAGGGATTGTGCATGTAAATCCATACGCACTATAGGAAAGAAAGAGAGGGAGAGCATGCATCTAAATGGCAGAGAAAAATGGACGGTGTGCATCAATTGGGAACAAGTTAGCCTACTACCCAAGAAGTGTAAAAATCCACACACTATACCACAAGCTTACTCCAGCGATGAATACCCAACTGGGAACTACAAGACACAACACGGGGTGGACAACACTGAGTGACTACGGTGTGTGTTGAGGACCTGTTTGTTGGCAAAAACGAGCAGAACGGCATCTCTGAGTTCGTCTTCGTTGAGCATCCGATTCATCTCTTCCCGGGCCTCTCCCACACGTTCCCTGTCATTGCTGTCCACCACAAATATCAGACCTTTACACACAGAGAGAGAGAGTGTGTGTGTGTGGTTGGGGGGTGAGCAGATATAAAAGAGAGTTGGAAAAGGGGGTGGACAAATGTATATTTTACTCTACTCAGTGCTCCCAGGTCCCAGTGCTCTGGCTACGTCGTACTAGTAGATGCTCGAAACGTCAGCATACATGAATACACAGTAGAGATGACCACATAAGGCACACAGAGCCCTTGTACCACTCAAAAAGTCAACAGTCCCTAGTTACACGGGTGTAGATTCTCTTGAAAAAGCTGTGTTGTTGACAAATTGATGGGAGGGGCTAAGTTTCCTCTGAATGTGCAGGAGGTATAATAAACAGAAACCTAAATCCCACTGAAAAGAGGCCCATAAAAAACAGGATGCAATTTTCCCCTTCTCCCTCACTGTAGTGTACATGAGTCAGTTAGAACACACATGATACTCTACGCTCACTCAGACAGTAGAGTGTAGAGCAAACACTGCCGTGTTGTGTCGATGGCTCACCTTGAGTGTTCTGAAAGTAGTGTCTCCAGAGAGGCCTGATCTTGTCCTGCCCACCAACATCCCACACAGTGAAGCTTATGTTCTTGTACTCAACTGTCTCCACGTTAAAACCTGTACACACACACACACACAAGGGAGTCAGGCGAGATGAGAGGGGTGAGAAAACAGGCAACGGGTAGAGTGAACGAGAGAGAGAGAGAGAGGAGCAGGCAAAGGAGAAGACGAACTGGAGGTGGGCAAAATGGAACTGTGGGTTACTCACTACATACCACCACCCATTTACCTTGACCAGCACCCCCACACCCAATAAAACGCGCGGCCTAATACGCCTCTTTGCACACCTTTCTATTACCCTCTGCTCTAAAGACCCCATTAGCGGCTCCTCCTTCCTACCGATTGTGGGGATCGTGGTCACAATTTCCCCGAGTTTCAGTTTGTACAGAATGGTCGTCTTCCCCGCGGCGTCCAGCCCGACCATGAGGATCCGCATCTCCTTCTTCCCGAAGAGACCCTTGAAAAGACTCGCGAACGCTCCCATGGCGGCTGTTCGATTCCTCTTCCCCTCTCTCTCTCTGTTTCCTCTGTGCAGACTCGACTCTAGCCACCTCACCACGGTGCGTATACGTACCCAACGGCTTTATGTCTTCCTGCCCGAGGCGCGCCTGTGCAGTGCAAAAATGGACGCGTCAAAAGGAGTGTCGTCGTTTTCGCCACGTCACACCTGTACACGAGGAATGGTCGCCTGGTGGCTCCTCAGCGGTGGGTACTGTGATATTGAGAGGAGTTTTGGTCGCCGGATGAAAATAGATCAGTCACGTGCGTCCGTAAACTCACACATAATAATGACGTAGTTGTGGTATGCGCATGCGCAGTTGGAAACGCAGCCCCGCCCCCTATAATGCTTCACATTTCCGCTGATATCTCGTCAGGGGCTGTGCTTGGCTACAAATCTGCTTGAGCTGCACAGCTGTCTGCAGTGGACCTGTTGAGACCCGTCTCCTCGTTCACGTCGTACATATTTGTCGTGTTGGAGTTAGATCGCTGAAAGGAGACGCTATGGGGCTGTTAGACGGTGAGGATCGTTAGATAAGTTTTTACGTAACTCTTTAGGTTGCGTTACCTCCCCTGCCTGCCACGTGTATTCTTACTTTTACTAGCAACAGTAAAATGGCCAGAATTTAGCATGGGAAGGGACCGCAACTTTCTCGATCAGGCCTTTGAACGTGCAACAAAGAGCCCCGCCCGCGATCCCTTTTGGAAACAGCCACACTTTGATTTACTGTATAAACGACAGCTGGTCCTCTGTATAAACTGTTGGTGTTTGGTGCAGAAACGACAGTGGCTCAGACAGTCGGATGCTGAGTGGAGATGCTTACGTCTTCACCGCAGTCAGCCATGCAGGGACGCTCCTGGCGTCCGTCCACACCCTTCGGGAACGGAACGGACTGTGTGACATCTTCCTGCGTGCGGAGGACAGCCAGATCCAAGCGCACAAGGTGATCCTAGCCGCAGGAAGTCCCTACTTCAACGCAATGTTCTCCAATCAGCATCGTGAGAGCTCTGCGAGGAGCGTCGATCTGAACGGAATTGACGGCCCAACTCTCGGGCTTCTTGTCGACTTCATCTACTCTTCTTCGCTAGAAATAACGGAAAAGAACGTGCAAAACCTTCTGTCAGGGGCAAGCCTGCTCCAGCTTACGGCTGTCGTTGAAGCTTGCTGCCAATTTTTGAAAGCCAGGGTATGCGCCGATAACTGCCTCGGGATTGCTGCATTTGCCGACCATCACGGATGCTCTGAGCTCCAACGCTACGCCTGGACCTTTGCCGTTGAGAATTTCGCAGAAGTTGTACATAGCGAGGAGTTTTTGACTACACCTCCTGAGTTTTTGATCGATTTCGTAAAGTGCGAAGATCTGCAGGTGTCCAGCGAGGAAGAGGTGTTGGACTGTGTCTTGCAATGGCTTCGACACGACGAAAAGGGGCGGAGTCAGGTCTTCATGACAGCACTGGAACAGATCAAGCTCCCCCTCGTCCCATGGAAATCTCTACAGGAGAAGTTTGGACAAATTTACTCCATTTCCTCAAATCCGCTGTGCACGAGCTACATCGAAGGAGCGAAAATACACCAAACTTGTACAATATCCCCGAAACCACACTCTGAAGCTTTCAACATTGCCCAGTACATACCGCGTCGCTCTGTAGGACGAAACATGTTCATATATGCCGTCGGAGGCGAGACCAGTCCGGGCCGAACCACTGTGGACAGCATCGAACTTTTCGACCCCGCCAAGAACACTTGGCAGAAACTTGCACCCATGACGACGTGCCGAAGAGGGGTGGGCGTGGCCATTTTGAACGGGTATCTCTATGCAGTTGGAGGATCAGATGGAATCCAACCTCTCAAACTAGCCGAGCGATACGATCCGACATGCGACCTTTGGACCCGGATATCGGATATGAACGAGAGGCGGAGTAGCGTTGCCGCAGCAACCCTGGGGGAATATTTCTATGCCATCGGTGGGTACAGGGGGGTGACGAGCTGCCTGCAGAGCGTGGAGCAGTATGATCCTAACACAGACACGTGGACTTACGTCTCTAGCATGGTCGTACCTCGCAGCATGGCGTGTGCTTGCTCGATGGGTGGACGGATGTATGTTGTCGGTGGCTACAACGGAGTTTCAGACCTACAATCTTGCGAGGCGTACGACCCCGAGACTGGTCTCTGGGGGTTGACGGAAGAGATGAAAACACGTCGTTGCATGGCTGGTGTTGCAGCTGTCGACGGAAGGCTCTACGTTGCCGGGGGATGCGATCACGCTGTGAGCCTGCGAAGCGCCGAATCGTACGATCCGTCGACCAAAAAATGGTCGGACCTTGGCGACATGGCGGAGGCCCGCAGCGGTCTTGGTTTGGCAGTCATCGGTCGCAAGTTGTTTGCAATGGGAGGCCACAATGGTAGGGGAAGTGGGGGTTATTGCAGCTCCGTGGAAATGTTTAACACCGACACGGATGTCTGGACTGTAGTAGCCAACATGACTGCCGACCGCAGACGCTTTGGCTGCTGCTCGTAATGTATAATTATACCACTATTTTTATACCACAGAGTCACAATACATGACATTTTAAAACAATGCTGTGGGTGATTAGAGATTGCTAGGTTTTTAAACCTGAAAAATGCGAAAGAAATGGCAAAGATTTCACGTCTAAATGTTTGTTATTTGTAAGGTTGCTCCTTGACTGCTGGTTCTGTGTAGGGTGGGTTTCTATGGCGACCTCCCGGTGCTCCTCTGGTATGTCGTCTGCGACCAGTCATGTCACTCTGTGACCTTTGGTACTGATCTCTCCCTCTTCCCTCCCCTCCCCCTCTTCTCGACTGAATCTCACCTCTTCCCCTACCTCTCGCCCTCCCATCTCCCCCTTCCCTCCTGCTTGCCTGATTATTCCTCTCACCCCTCCCTCTCCCCCTCATCTCGCTGTTTCCACGGCGACTCCGAGGCATGTGGACATTCCAGTTATTAATTTCAGATTGGTGAGTGTCGTCATGTGACTCATTCGGATGATCTGATTGGCCGGTTCCCCACGAGTATTGCTCACTGTAGGAACGGCGAGGGACGAATTGTTGCCGATGGTCTGCTGCCTCGTAGCTTCGCTCCGGCCCACTCTCAGAATGTCTATAGGCACCTCTGTTTCCATGGCCACGCTGTGGACTCAGTGTGCTCCAATTAGAACCCCGTGATCTCTGAGGCGGCGTTTGCTCGTATCTTGAATTTGGCGTCCTGGAGCCACTCCTCTGTGGGGTCACGTGACCAGAACTCGACCCCGGGCTGGAGATGCTGAATTTCACGGGGGTCAGATTCCCCCCAGGCATCGGTTCCCCTGTCTTTGTGACAACGGAAGCTCCGCTTTGCCCCGCAGTGGCCCACGCCCCTCGAAGAGGGCGTCCCTTGTAGGGTCGTCGACCTGATCCAGGGGTTTCCCCTCCTCTAAATAGAGCCTCCCTGATCCCCCTCTCTAATTCCGTCTTGTCTTTCTCCGTCATTGTGGACGCAGTCTCTAGGAATTCTCCCTCTCCCTCTTCCTCCTCGGCAGTGAGTCGGCTAATTTCCCCCAGTGGGATCGAGTCGCGAGAGGGAGAGGGGAATTCCCCTGGTTGTTGCCGTGGCGACAGAAAACTCTCCACCTCCCTCGGCTCCAGGTGGTGAGGGAGATAATCGGCTCTGGCCGCCCACACACCTGACAAGAAAACACAAAAGAAAAAATTCAAATTTTTCATAGAAACATCATTCTGCCATCTTCCTTTCTATTTCTATACGCGAAAATAAAACACCTCTAAATTTGGCACACGGTATGTTACACTTACCCGATAGTGAAGAGCTCGACATGCTGGGGGTCAAAGGTTGACTGCTCTGTCCCTGATCAACAGGGGTCCTCTCTTCCCGTGATCGCCCCAATTCCAAGTCGACTTGGATCTCGGACGTGACTGCTCCCGTCTCAAACTTGTAGCTGGTCTCTTGCGGCTTTTTGACGTGATCCTAATTACAAATACCAGTCACATGACCTCAGAGATTAGTCACATGACAGTCACGTGACCCACCTTGTAATAGATAACGCAGTTGATGGTTCTACTGACTGGTCCTTCCCTCCACTCGTCCATGACGTAAGGGGGTTGGTACAGTCTCACTATGTCAGCTGGAATGGAGCTGGACAACATCAACTGAATCTCCTGGGAAATAAAGTGAAGAGAGAGAGAGGGAGAGAGTGTGTCAGACAGATGGTGCAGTAGTAAGTAAGTAGGGAGGGGGGAGAAAGGAAGGGAGCTAATGCCGTGGTGTACCTTGACAGCAGAGGTAGCTGCTAATGAACCATCCACGTCCACCATGATCTTCCATCTGCTCCGCTGTAGATGTACACACAACCACACAGACAACAAGACAGTTGCTCAGACAAGGAGCAAGGCCTGTTCAGACCATTCCCAGATACACAATGCGACATTTTCAGAGCATGCGGCATTTTCTAGGGACATGCATAAAGTAATACATTTTCTAGGGACATGCATAGATTATCTAGAGGACATAAAAAAATTATCCCGGAAGCAAGCAACCAAACATCAAAGTAAAAAAAATCATTCCTCAACTAATGCATGTATGAGGTCATCTCAAAACACTGTAACAGTTCCCCTCCCTTTCTCTTTGCTTGGCTCACAGCAGACGTCGGTCTTTGCAGGATGCTGAAGATAATCGCCAGGGAAACGACCTGGTTGGACTCTTGGAGCTTTGACCTAGACGAGTTCTGAGGTCAGAGGTCACATCCAAGAGTCACGTGACACATTGCCATGGTTACCTTACTCCCGAGAAAAATAGGCGGGAAATGAAGTAGTCGGTGATTCTCTCGTCTCAGACTCTCTATGGCAACCTGCAGTGTGTCGTAATGCTCCGATATTATCGCGACACCAATCAGACAGAAGAAAGTGTCCATATTAGTGAGGTGTCCTTATTTCAGGGGTTAAATTGCATGCGAGAAACTGTTCTTGGGGGAAAGAAAAGGTGTCCGTATTAGAGAGGTGTGCTCATTTCAGGGGTTTCCTCAGAGAGGAGTTCCACTGCAGTAAAACAGGTTTGTGAAACCGGACTGACCAGAAGTTCCTTCCTGTGCCCTACTGAGAGGACTCCAATCTGCAGCAAGTCATCTCCGGTCAACAGAAACAACCTGGACACACACACACACACACACACACACACAACCTCTAAAACTGGACTCTGCTAACAGAAATATTCTCCCTCACCTACGGCCTGTGATATGATTCTTGAGGAACACCTCTGAATATGCAGCCAGCTCCGGTCCCGGCAGACTCTGGATCCAATTAACCTAAAGAGAAACACCAGATTAGGTAATGATGACATCATCGCTAAATGTCGTACGCACAGCATCATCCTCGGTCCAGCCATTTACGTCATGGTTGCCATGGAGAGAACTCTGCATGTAAAACATATTACATCGTCATAAAAACAACTTTGCATTGTGTTGTGTGCATGCTACTGTGATGATATAACTCTTTTCTTGGAGACGAGTTGTTTCTCCCGAGCATCAAGTTCCTTCTCTCTCTCCCGCAGCTGAAACTCCTTGTCAGACAGCTCCCTGCGAACGTTTTTCAGTGTCTCCAACTTCTCCTCTATCTCCTTCCTGACAGAACAAACGATAGTCACTTTTTGAAGCAACACGTTTTTGAAGTACTATACACACGTAAAACTAAAAAACTTTTTGTGTGAAGAGAAAATTTTTGGTGCAATGCTAAATTTCTTAACGTACTTCCATTCATCTTTCTGCTTCAGGAAAGACTTTGTCTCTTCCTCCAAACTTTCTGACGAAGCAAAAAGTAGAATATGAGGTCAAAATTCAACTACAGACTGGTTTTAGTTTGAGATCTTAATTTCAGTGGCCGTACCAACCATTCTCCAACATGTTCTGCAGCTGGTCCAAGATCTGCTTGAAATTTAGTCTATCCTAGAGTAGAGAGAGAGAAAGAGAGAGAGAGAGAGAGAGAGAGCCAAGTAAGAGGGAGATAGCTAAAGGGCAAAATAATTTCCACCTGGGCCTAAAAGATGTATATTAAAAATGTTCTAACCTTAGGTTCTGCCAGCCAGCACTTCCGCATTAGGTCTGCAAACAGAGGGGGGCAAGATTTCGGAATTATCAACCTCTCGTCTTTTGCCACTACCAACCACGCCACCTGAAGCCCCTCCAGCCCCTGGTAATCAGGGGAATAATCAAATTAATCTCGTGTAATTAGATTAGCTGATTAGAAGGGCTGGACCTTGAAAGGCACTTCTCTTGTGAGGAGCTCCCAGAGTACAATGCTATAAGAGAAGACATCGCAGGCTGGGCTCACAGGGAGTTGTTGTATGACCTTATGATGAGGGAGAGGAGGAGAGAAGAGAGAGAGGGGGGGAGTGAAATAAGGAGGATCAGAGAGAGAAAGAAAAGGAAAAAGATTAATGAACACCTCTCAAGAGAATAGCTTGCCCAATTATATCTTCGAGTGTTAAATTTTCAACCATCTATCTACTACTTGTTGTGAAAAAAACCTGCCAGCTATGTACGGGTATATAATGTATGTACCTCAGGTGCCATCCATGGAATGTTCCTACAACAGAAATCTTGGTGGTCTGCAGATGAAACTTTGAGGACCCAAAATCACACAGCTGTTATATTATAGGAGAGATATAGGGGGTGTGGCCACGACTTAATTAAATGTGTGGATTAACATACCTTTGCTGTTAGATCTGCAGCTATCACAACTAAAAGAAAGGGAGAGAGAAGACATGAGGAGAAATAATGGCTACTCTCGACTTTCTTGTGCATAATAATTATGTAGCTAAGAACATCTGCCAATTTTTAAATGCCTGGCCAAAATTTTAGGCGTGTTGCAGTTTACTGATGAACAGCATAATTGGTCACCCGCAACAGAGCTCACCATTTCTTGACTTGAGGTCTCTGTGGATGACAGGGCTGGGGCCTCGTAGTGGAGATAGTTCATTCCTGCGGGGGAGAGGGAGGGTGTCCTGATCAACACGGTACCCTGATCAACATGTTGACCTGATCAACACGGTGTCCTGATCAACACGGTGTCCTGATCAACATGGTGTCCTGATCAACAGGGTGTCCTTAATCAACATGGTGTCCTGATCAACACATGGTGTCCTGATCAACACGGTGTCCTGATCAACAGGTGTCCTGATCAACACGGTGTCCTGATCAACACGGTGTCCTGATCAACATGGTGTCCTGATCAACACGGGTGTCCTGATCAACACGGTGTCCTAATTCTCAGGACAACAACTAGAAGACAATTCAAACCCTTCAAAAGGACACTGTATAGTAGTGCGTTATTTTCGATAAACCTAAGGATAAAGGACACTTTCAATGTCCCCACGGTTCCCCTCACTCACTGAACAGTAAAAATCCCCGCATAATTTATGCAATAATTGTTACTGAATAATTTTCCCATAATTATCACAAATTACCTAATGCAATTTGTTTAGCCCAGAGAAGAATCTGCAAAAGTCAATCGTAAACTTCCTCAGATAGTCGTACAGAGAGCCACACTCTGCATACTACATAGACACACACGGAGAGGGAGGGAGAGGTGGAACGGAATGAGGACTGCTGGGGAATCGGGAATGGGACACACCTGTGACGAGGCAGTAATTGGGGGGCTGGACGACGGCCCCAAAAAATTGGACGATGTTCCGGTGACTGAGAGAGCTCAGAACATCGGCCTACAGAGGGGGAAGCAAAAAGGATGGAGGAAAGGATTTTCTAAATTACTAGCACTTTTCCGCCGAATCAAATAGAGTCCAACTCGCCCCTTCAATGCATTCTACCGCAGACCACAGCTGGGCCTACTACCTCAGCTTCCAACTGCAGTAATTTCTTGACTGCCACCACTTTCTCCTGCGTCTTCCAGAGAGCGCGGTAGACGGTGCCCGCGGCGCCGCTGCCCAGACGCTCGAAAAACTCCAGCTCCGAAAAGTCTATCTCAACAAACGGCATGGCCACTACACGTTTGGGGGGGCCTGGTCAAAATAAGCCACGCCCCTTCATTTGGCGGAGAATAATTATCGCGCATGCGCGCGTAGGGGTGTTTGGCGGGAAACACACAGATATACTATACTAGATAGATAGAGCTAGCTAGCTGCTGTCACACACGAGGTCATACACCGACTTTACTATTAAAGAATGGCAACCGCTGTACCCCCGAAGGCTCACGAGATGAGACAGACTCTGAGCGAGATTCAGCAGAACCTCCAGTGTCCAATATGGTGAGAAAACATCCAGCTGCTCACACCTTACGTTTATTTCTTGCAGCCTGGAGGTACTGAGTGATCCTCACAACACGCTGTGCGGCCATTCTTACTGCAAGTGAGTGTGTCTTCCTGTCAGATAGAGATACATGTGACTTCTTTCCCCACACCGCCACTGACACACAGAGAGTGTATCTTTACAGCCATCTCCAGCAGCAAGAAACCAAAGTGTCCACTGTGCAAGGAACACATCACAAAACGGTTAGAGACAGAAACCAGCGCAATCTTACTGTCAAGCAAAGCAAGCGTACCTAACAATGCGAAAGTTGTGAAGCGGTTTTTCCTTTCACAAAATATAAGGCTTGTTCAATGTTGCCCTTTTATAGTATGTTGTGTATTGTAAACCAGGGTTTATAGACTTGTCGTGTGTCTGCTTGCTATATATTCCGTCTAGTACATAACACGGCTCTTTTTTACCCACAGAAGTCTGAGGAAGAACGAAATGCTCTCTCAACTAGTCGACGCAGTCGGCGAACTAGAGAAAGCCATCATTTCTGACACTGGAATCACTAGTAAGTATTTCTCTTGATTTATCGGCCGTTAGACTAGGGTCTCCTCGTATGGGGTTGATTTTGTGTATATAGATACCCGCCGAAAAGTGGTGCCACATAACTCCGGGGTGTCTGGTACTCCTGGAGTGAGACTCCACTCCGTACTCCACCCCACCCCGCTGAAGCCACGCCCACTGGACGACGAGCAATCGTGTGGGGAGTCCAGTGATGGTGATGAGAGGGAAGGCGGAGAAGGGAGAGGGGAGGATGAAATGAAAAATAGACCATCTACTAGTGCCTCTGTTGTTCTCGGGCGAAAGAAAAGAAAGGTAAAGTGAGAGATTTATAAATGTGTCAAACTCAAAATCTCCTCTTTTCTGAATATGGCTAGAGTACTAAATCTAATCCGGACGCTAATATGAGGAAAATGTGTCCTATTTTCTCAATTAAATGTGTCCTTTTTATGTCCGTGTGGCGAAATTACACTTGACTAATGTTTTTCTGCAGCTCTCCCAAAGCGCTGATGGATCTCGGCAATGAAGCTAGTTCATCTTCAAATGCCTCTTCCTCTCCTTCCCTCCTCTCCTCTTCCTCCTGTTTGCCTCATTCCAGCAAGATCGCTTCTCAGCCAGCTAAAATCTCTGGGCCCCTTCACCAAATCGCTAATAATGGAGGGAGAGAAGAGGACTTGACTCAAGACCCAGCTAACGCGGCACTGATAGAGGCACTAAATGGTGCATCCCTGCGTTTGTCTGATAGCTACACCGACAGCGATGTATCTCGCCCAAACCTACGACAAAAGCGGAAGGCGTCGCAAACATCGAAAGACAGCGAGTCTCTTCACAATGAACTAATCCCTCCGTCTCATGCTACCCCAAATCGAATCAGGGAAATAAAAAGGCTTTGTAGAGAAAGAAGGGTTGTGGGGAAGGCAGCACCTCTCAGGAATGGAGGAGCCGTTCAGCCAAGTGTTTGGCTTGTTACTAGTGACGACAGCGACGAAGATTATGTTCCCAATTTGAAAGTGGCCACACCTATTTTGCCTGACATACACCCATTCTTATCCGTGTCGACCACGCCCAACTTGCAACGGTGCCCCGAGGGAAGGGCGGAGTCAAGTAGAGGGACTGAAAATCAACCATCCCAATTTTCAGCCCAAACGAATGGATCCTGCAGTCTGCTGAATAAGAAGGCATCATCTACAACTGCAGAAAGGAAGGGAGACAAGGCAAGACATAGGCAGAAGAAACCTCGAGTTTTGAAACAAGCGCCGCTGGAAATATTTTGTAAATGACGTCATACTGAAAATTTCGTTGATTATACGCATGCGCACATTTCGCTCGCTCGAGCGTCATAGTGACGTCATGCGTGTACACACTGCAACACGCCAGAGCGAGCAGCCCCGCCCCTCTCTCCCTCCTGCGTTGTTTCACACGCCGCTGCGATCACAAGGAATGATGCGGTGAGGTTTAGCTGAAGGAGGAGGCGGCGGTGATCGGCCACGCTCGAGAGACGAGAAGGAGCTAAGTATTGCCCACGTAGCTATAAAAGGTTGACGACGATCTCCTATAGCCGGAGCTAGCCAGTCAGGATCCTTGAGAAGAGTTTAGCAGCTGGCGACAACAGTAGGACCGGAAAGGGAACGGTTTTTGGAGCGACTAAAGCCATCTCTGCTGCTGGTTGCAACTATGAGACGGTCAACGGCGGCGCTGCTACTAACTACGGTATTGACGGCTCTTCTGCCTCCACAGACAGCTGGTAGGTATAGCTTGCATAACACCAACAACCAAGTGAAAGGGGAAAAAACGCAGTTGGGTTGTTAATCTGTGTACTCGTCCCTCCTTCACTCATTCACCAATGTTTTTATCCCTCCCCCTCTCTCCCACCTTCCTCCTTACTCTCCTTTCCCCCAGCCACCATCCTGAAGTGCTACTGCAGCGATTGCCCTCAAGAACAGTCAATCTGTTATGGTGAAATCTGTACGCGACAAACTCTCTACAGCTTCCACACCGGAGCTAAAATTTCGGAGAGGTGGCGTTGTCTGAACGATTCTTTCGCGTCCTGCAACATTTCTTCGTCACTTTTATCGTACGAATGCTGCAGCTCTCACGATTTTTGCAATAATGAGAATTACACGACGTCACAGTTCGAGGAGAGCCCTAACAGAACTAATAATTATAGCTGCGAGACAGGGAATTTTACAGGAAACTCCTCGACCACAGATTCATCTGAAGAGACTAATTGTACTACAGGGTCAGAAGATGCTGAGCTCACGACCTGAAACAAACACTAGCTACCCTTCTTTTGGTAGGTATTGAAGCAATAGTTGTATATGTCCTGCTATATTGAAGCATTGTAAGGGTAATACAGCTTGTAAGCTGATAGCCATCTATTATGGTTTGTATGCCATTATCACCGATGCTCAGTTAGCAATATAGAGCATTGAAGCTAGTATACTTGGTATTGAGAGGATTATGCTATGTATTCAGAAGTTATGTATACTTTTGTTCCTCCCTCAGTTCCAGAAGGGGACAGGTTTCAATGCCACGAAGCTGAATCCGAAAACCCACAGACTTTCAATTTCACATTCTGTGAGACCTCCACAACCTGCTTCAACAGTCTCAGGTACATACATACATACAGCACCACATGTCCATGATATAATTAACTTCCCTCTCCTTCAATTTAGATAATTATGTCATTGCAAAAAAAATCAATTTTTCTGCAGAATTCGCAATGATGGCTCGAGGATATTCAGATGGGGCTGCTCAAGAGAAGACCCCGCCCACTCTTGTGCGGAGGAAATCGAAACCGAAAAAGAAGAAAACTTGCTGTCGCGGATGGTTCTGCAACAAAGACGTCCCCACTGACTGGGTGAAGGGGAACGAGAACGAGAACGAAACCACGCCCACTATGACCTTGCCCACCGAGGCCACACCCACCAACTCCACCCGACCACCTCCGGCAGAAATTTCGACGGGTTCCCCGACAACAGAAGAAGAAACGCCCTCCAATTGTACACTGGCCGAGGGGGGCATGTCCTCCGACATAAAACCGTGCGCCGGGCCCGGCAGTGTGATTGAATTGACACCGGAGAAAGTCGAGCCCATTACCACGGAGATCGGGGATTCCTGGAGTAAGTATGGCAACGCTTAGAGAGCAGTGTGGTGTGTGGGTTTGAGTCCCATCCAGGACAGCCCCTTTTTCAAAGTCACAGATTGTGTGCTTTCACTTGCTTTTCTTGCTATATACAAATGTCTCTTTCTCTCTACTCCTTCCTTTCTTATTCTTCTCCTACCCTTTCCTAATTTCATTCCTCCTCTCCCTCCCTCCCTCCCTTCAGATTTCTTCTGCTACTGCACCACTTGTCCCGACAGCTACATATTATGCGGGAGCCACTTTGGCTGCGCCACTTTGTACGGCTACGATATCAGTGTCTCCACGGGAGGCCCGTCCATTGTCACCAGTCATTTCTGTCTGTCCAGAGATGACTTTGTGTCGTGCGGTCAGACTCCGGGCGTCGTTTGCTGTCTGAGCAATTTCTGCAACGCTCCTCACTCGCTCAATCTGACGGAAGCTCTGCCCACTGGTAGTCCGACCGAACCTATTATGGCAGAGATAACTTATCCAATAGAGATACCATCTGTGACAGAGGGCTCGCCGACCAATCAAAATACAGGTATATATATATATACCTTAGCAACAGGCTCAATAAACTGCGAAACCCTGAATTAGGAGGAAATTAAGTGTCCTTTATTCAGAGGTGTCCCTTATTTCATACACTAATTTATCAGTAAGGGGCAGAAGCAGTGTTCTTTTAATATAGAGAGGTGTCCTTATTTGGAGAGTCATTTTTCAGGGGTTCAACTGCATTTAATTTTACAACTAGACTGTGTGCAAGTTGTAACTGTGCTTATTGCCGAATTAAGCATCATTATAAACACGCCTGCTACCAATTAGCGTAATCTGCTCGACGCAACTCATTTAGTAAAACTCGCATTCGACGCTTGCTTCTTTGGACGCTAATAATAAAATTTTACAGGCACTAATTTTCGCGATGCGCTAGAGTAACAACAAATCAAACTCGCGTAGATAAAGTTGCTTTGACTCGTGCCGCGCACGTTTTATGAATTTGAAATTTTATCGTGTTGATAGTAACTATAGTAACCATTTTCTGCGTGCAAGTGTGTGCATTAGCAAAGACATGAAAGGCGTAGGTTGCTACACACGTGTGATTTTCACGGCTGCCCCACACATGGTAGAGTATCCACATTTCGCGGCTGGGTGGCTGTAGGTATGTAATGGACATCTTTAGTCAATAGCCCGTATGTATAGCTCCGTAATTGTTCCGATTGTGCCCATTCATCTGGAAAATCACCGACCACAGTAATTTCACGTATCACTGGTACTATATAATCCTCACATCTCCCCTGGTTTCCAAATACTCCTATTGCAGTTAACCCCTCCACTACCACTACCCCTCATGTTCCAGTTAACCCCTTGTCTCCTCCCACGCTGGTTAACTCTTCTGGTACTGAATTTGAACAAAGTAACGAGGAAGATGAAGACCTGTCATCGTTGTTCTATGCCATGAGTGCAGTTCTCGCTGTCCTGGTAGCAGCCCTCGTCCTAGTAATGGTCGTCCTGATATTCTGTTGCTACAGTTACAACAAAAAGAAACAATCATCGTCGCCGCGACGACCACAAATCACCACGGCAACAAGGGAAAGTATCGTCCCAGTTACGGGGAGATCAAATTTCGTGATAGTGAAAGTTGAAGACAGAGAGCTCTGTTCAAGGATAGAGAGTTCAAAGGTCGAGCACAGTTGCACGACTGAGTCAACATGCACACAACCATCGAGTCCAGAGAGTACTGTCTAAAAATAGATAATTTCCAACGATGTAATCAGAAATATTCCGATTGGTCAGATTTATACACCAGCATTATCATTATTATTAATTTCATCCTCAATTTTTGTGTGTCACATTAACTTGTAGCTCAGTCACGTTTCCATGGCACCCCATTGTACACTTATACTGGCATTTCATCACTTTGATTAATTAACTCTCTAATCACTGAATTCAAGCTGTTATTCGCGCGCCACTGTGCTGTTGCGTAATGCGAATGTTTGGATAGTGAAATGTACCATGCTAAATGGTCTATAAAATTGCCCCGTTTAAACTGTTAACATTACATCATCAAAGTGTAGACGATTTTTGAGAGTTAGAAACTTAGCAGCAGAGCATAAGAAATTGCGATAAAAAATGGATGATTGATAGTTAATAGTGCAATAATGCCCACTTAATGGTTTCGCTCCCGCAAGTTTAACAACTAAGTTTTCACCACAAAATGTACAATACATCATCACATTCGTTTGTATGTGAGTATGATAGAGAACCTATGAGACAATGTCGTTAGTAAATGATTATGGGGTTCAGTGAGGTCGAAGGTCAGAGGTCAGGGGAGCTGTTTGGTCTGAGAGTATAGAGAGTCCACGACCTTCCCCATCCTCGAAATGACCTCCAGACCAGTGGAGTAGGTTTGGTCAGACCCAGAGTCTGTGAGGGGAGGAAATTCCGTCTCTATCTCGCTGGCCCTATTCCTATCTTGCCAATATCGCTCTCACTATTCCTATATATCTCGCCTCTCTCTCTCTCTCTCTCTCTCTCTCTCGGAAAGAACACCAAACCAATGAAAGTTGCAACTTACTTTCGTAAACAATCAGGACTCCTTGCCCTTGATCAAGGATTCCTAAAGGAGGTACGTAAGAGAGAGAGAGAGAGGGAGAGAGAGGTACGTAAGAGAGAGAGAGAGTGGGAGAGAGGGAGAGAGGGAGGTACGTAAGAGGACGAGAGAAGGAGAGAGAGAGGAGGAGAGGCAGAGGAGAGAGGACGAGGAAGAGAGAGAGAGAGAGAGAGAGAGGGCAGGTGTGAAAGGGTGGGCGAGCCCGAGTAATTGAGCAACGTTTTCCAAACACGCATTCCGCCAGGTGACAAAGTCAGGGCGGGACTGTACAGTCTAGCAGTCACAGCAATACGAGTAAATCGAGTTTGCACACACGGAACCGACCACAAACTAGAGACAGACTGCCGACCAGTAAACAAAGGTCACACGAGTAATGCGCCGCCTGATGTGTTTTTGGTTTCAAGGAATCCGAACCAAAACACGGACACACACACACAGAAATAAAGAACACTCAATGTATGGTATGATATATACACATCCCATGGACGCTCGTGTGATGCGATACATGTGTCTTGATTCCAAACCAGGTATGGAACAGAGTATCAAACTTGCCGTTTAGCGATTTGTCAAGAATTAGTCTCGATAGCTTCCTCTCCACTTCATCCTGTAAACAACAACAACAACAACAAACACTCTTGCAGTTTCATTTCACCACCAGTCACCACGCCTCTTTACCTGAGGGAGCTTTATTTCCCGGGCGACGTGCTGAACCTGAGCAGTAACAAACGTTACTATTTTAGTGCACATTAGGACGACGTAAACTACTAAAAATAGAACCAACCTCTACTTTGGAGTAGGGCTCTATGATTTGGAGAAGGTTTTTCTCAAGGAGTGCACTATTTAGAGCTTCAAGATGGGACTAAGAGAAAGTGGGAGAGGAGGGAGGGAGAGGGAGAGGAGAGAGGGAGGGAGAGAGAGAGGAGAGAGAGGAGAGGAGGGAGAGGAGAAAGAAAGGGAGGGAGAGAGAAAGAGAGGGGGAGAGAGAGGGAGGGAGAGGAGAGAGAGGAGAGGAGAAAGAAAGGGAGGGAGAGAGAGAGAGGAGGAAGTGGTTGTACGGGAGGGAAGATAGACACAGCAAATATCACACAAACCAGTTCCTGTACATCCAGAATGAGAAAACAGTGCTCTGCTGAAACTAATATTTGAGGGTACATGTAGCCATGGGATACGGGCGTGCTAGGGCTTGAAAGTGGTAAATTGGTTGTGAGCCAATTGGGCGTGACAGCAGACTGTCGTTAGCGGCAACCGATCCCTCCCTGCCTACAAACCCCACCGCCTTTGTCAGCTCTTCTCGGAATCTCTCAGATTTCACATTTCACACACACACACACAGACACACAGACACTTATCCATTTAGAGCCCACCTTCACGATGGGATCGGCAGAGACGTGTTGCCTATGTTCCTCCACCACTCGCTCCAACTCTGATATTGACTTGCTCCGACAAGCCTTTGCTATGTTCTGCATCACCTCCAACTACAACAAATACTGCAATTGCTACTAGAACGAATTCAACACATTTCTGGTGAGAGAATGCGCGAGTAGTTCAATTTTCCACAGGAAACATCACGAAGAGAATCGTGCGTTCAGACAACTTGGTGGGATTGCTTTGCTCACCAGTTTTTTCCACGATTCTAGTTATGGAAAAAACATATTTGTTTCTCAGTTGGCCGGTGGCTAAGCAGGACAATTCCATAAAATCCGCGAGATTTTTTGGTTATTAATTTGGAGGTGGGTGGAGTTTCAAGTGTACTCTGACCTCAATTCCAGAGTACTTCAGAGCCATCTTTCCCGACACTACCGACTGAACGTCCTCCGGACTACAACAACAAACAAACAAACAAAAGTGTAAACAAACGAGACTGTAAACACAAACACAACGACATACATTCCGAGCATGATCTTGCAGAGCAGCATGTACTTCAGAGCCGTTATCGCCATCGGGCTGTCGACAGAGTCGTAACCTTCAAAAGCCTCGTAGAAATAGGAATACGCGGTTTTGAAATCCTTCTCCTCTGCATGCAGCACACCTGATGATAGAGAAATACGTTATTTTTTTAGAAACGACCCGTTTTTGCCACTTTCTCTCATCTCTCTCGCCTTCTCCTTACGTTTTCTTCCATCTCAGCAATACAGCTGAAGCTAACAACCTCAGATAGTGCATGTACCTCATCCCGACTAAATTATTAACCCCACACGTTGCATTATACGTCGACCGACAGCTAATCAATTAACCACCCTCACATAGAGCCACACGGACGACAGCCGAGGGCGTGGCCACAGTTCAGGGATATTGTCTTTCTGTGAGGTAAAATACTCCCTCTGTGGATTCCGCGAACAAATTCTTGTCCTGATGAATTCATCCGCACATGATATTCTACCAATTGATTATTTTAAAACAGAAATGCAGTATAATAATACTCTAACCCAAATGTATGGGCATGATGCTGGGTAACCTGTGTCATCCCTGTAAGTAACTACCATACTTGGTGGGTTACCTGACTGCAGATCTAAAGCAGACTGGAGTCTAGGAGGGCAATAGATACCGTTGGCAGTGGTCTTAGCAGAAGTCAGTGCTGCTCTGTTCCGTGAGAGAAAGTGAAAGTAACAACACAGTTGTTTTTCATTTGGTCTTGCCTTGATCTGGTGATGTTGTCTAGTTTTTGATAGGCCTTGCTTTCCATGAGCTGAACCTGGGAGAGAGAGAGAGAGAGAGAGAGAGAGAGAGAGAGGAAGGAGAGAGAGGGAGAAAGGTGGAAAGTAACTGAACCAATGTGGTTGGTAAAGCAGGAGGAAGCACGGGGGGCTAACATTTAAAATTTTTCCACTTTTTTCACAAGCAGTGTATTGCACTAGATTGAGTTGAAAACTTTTGTGGATCTGAAATTACAAATACGACTCTACTAGCTAATAAATAATAAATAATTATACCTCTACTAAAAGAGCCTTATCGTCGATCTTCTTCAGTTCCTTGAGAAGTGGTCCGGCGATAGTGAGGGCCTGTTTGTCTGCGTCTCTGTCGACGTAGAGAGCCACCAATCTTGCCTCTAGGGCCTGTCTGAGGAACACCCGGTTCTCTGTCTTGGCCCAGTCGATACACTGCTGGCACAGCTCCACCTAATGAGGGGGGGTGAGGAGGAGGAGGAGGAGGAGGAGGTTGAGAAAGGTTTTCCCATTATGCGTTGAGGTAAGGAGACGAAAAAAGAGACAAGGGTCACGTCGTTAGCTCACACACCTCTCTCCCGGTGGAGGATTTCATGTCAAGGAACCGGTCCACCAGATCTCGTATCAGCTTGGCCGCCTTTGCCTTCGAGAAGTTCCCGATCATGTTCCGCGTCTTCACCACAAGCTCTCCCAACTCTGGACAAGATAATAAAGCGAAACTTTCTGCGTAGCGTGCGCTTACCTTCTGCAAAGCTGTGTTTGGCAAGAACTTTTCCCAGCAGGAGAATTGCCTGTTCTTTGATTTTGACCGCCTCCTCCCTCCCTTCTTCCTCCACCTCCGCATCCACTGCGTACGTAGAGAGACCAGGTGTGCGCTAAATAGAGCAGCACTATTATTCGTACGGGTGAATGCGTGGATGCAGAGCGACGGCGTTGCACCTACCTAGTCTGTTGAGAATGTCGACGGCTTCGTTTATCTTTTTCTCGTCTAGCAAAGCCTCGCTTCGCTGCAGCAAGGCGGCAGCCGACGACGCGGCGACTGAAGCCATTTCAATATTTCTCGCTGTAACGCGGTGCTGTTTCGCTAAAATAGAGAGCGCGCATAAAGCAAGCGCGTGCGCTAACGTATGATGACCTTTGATAAATCTTCATAATAAGGGGGACAAACACAATATCACAATAATGAGCTGGGTGGTTACTATGGCAATGATGCAGTTGCTGCTATGGTGATAGTTGCTATGAGACAGAGTTGATGGCGAGAGCTGTGGGGAGGAACGCGGACGACTTCTGGAAGACAATCTTGGCCTTTGTCTTGTCGGGACCGATGGGAATGATTTCAGTTGAGAGGGGCCTGCGGAGACGAGGGGAAGAAGACGAGAGATGCCACTTTGGTGAAATAGGACACAAACTACTCTACGCAACACATTTTTGGCAAGCGAACACTAGTGTCATATTTCAGGGGCTTTATACTCTTATATACAGTTGACTTAGGCGATAATAAACGGAGGGTTCTGCACTCGCTGCACTCACTTTATCTCTGTGGTGAGACAGCGTTCTATTCCGTCGGGAGGGTCTCGTGCAAACGATGGATTGGAGATAGACGGTGAGTTGAAAGGCAATGGAAAACCTGCGTAAGAGAGTAGGAGGGAGAAGGGTGAGTGAGTGTGTCTAACACACAGTGCAAAATTGCACAGTATCGCAGCCCATTTCATTGAAAAATTGCCTTCTCGTCCGTGCATGCACCGAGGCACACAACAGTACTTTCTCACGCCATATAATATTGTTCTCAGAAGTATAATCATTTTTTTACAAACAGTAGTGTGAGATACTGTATGTATATGCATGTATATATGTACATAATATACCTGTGGGTGTGTCAGGTAGTTTAGAGGGCGTGGCCAGTGCAGAGGGGGAGGGTGTGGAATGGGGGAGGGGGGAGGAGGGGAGGGAGGAGGGGGAGAATCGGATGGCACAATGTGGGGAAGACTGCAGACGGCCGGAGCGAATGAGTTCTGTTGGAGCCACGTGCCCATCTGGGTGCTGGTGCTGGGAGGGATCAACAAGTGTGTAGGTCGTATTATTATAATTGATCCCTCTATATTAAAATCGGTTTTTGTGTTAGTAGTATCAGTTGAGAGGGTTTTACTCACGGGAGAGATACCGAGGACCATGCAACGCTAATGAGAGGGTTTTACTCACGGGAGAGATAACAAGGACCATGCAACGCTAATGAGAGGGTTTTACTCACGGGAGAGATAACGAGGACCATGCAACGCTAATGAGAGGGTTTACTCACGGGAGAGATAACGAGGACAATGCAACGCTAATGAGAGGTTTTACTCACGGGAGAGATACCGAGGACCATGCAACGCTAATGAGAGGGTTTTACTCACGGGAGAGATAACGAGGACCATGCAACGCTAATGAGAGGGTTTTACTCACGGGAGAGATAACGAGGACCATGCAACGCTAATGAGAGGGTTTTACTCACGGGAGAGATACCGAGGACCATGCAACGCTAATGAGAGGGTTTTACTCACGGGAGAGATACCGAGGACCATGCAACGCTAATGAGAGGGTTTTACTCACGGGAGAGATACCGAGGACCATGCAACGCTAATGAGAGGGTTTTACTCACGGGAGAGATAACGAGGACCATGCAACGCTAATGAGAGGGTTTTACTCACGGGAGAGAGATACCGAGGACCATGCAACGCTAATGAGAGGGTTTTACTCACGGGAGAGATACCGAGGACCATGCAACGCTAATGAGAGGGTTTTACTCACGGGAGAGATAGCGAGGACCATGCAACGCTAATGAGAGGGTTTTACTCACGGGAGAGATAGCGAGGACCATGCAACGCTAATGAGAGGGTTTTACTCACGGGAGAGATAACGAGGACCATGCAACGCTAATGAGAGGGTTTTACTCACGGGAGAGATAACGAGGACCATGCAACGCTAATGAGAGGGTTTTACTCACGGGAGAGATAGCGAGGACCATGCAACGCTAACGAGAGGGTTTTACTCACGGGAGAGATACCGAGGACCATGCAACGCTAACGAGAGGGTTTTACTCACGGGAGAGATAACAAGGACCATGCAACGCTAATGAGAGGGTTTTACTCACGGGAGAGATAACAAGGACCATGCAACGCTAATGAGAGGGTTTTACTCACGGGAGAGATAACGAGGACCATGCAACGCTAATGAGAGGGTTTTACTCACGGGAGAGATAACGAGGATCCCCTCAAGAACAGAAGAGACCTCCTGGTTCAGACCCTCGATGCTCTTCCTCGTGTGGACGTGTTCTCTCCTGCTACCAGCTGGCACCGGCACCGTCTGCAGTCACATGACAATCACATGATGATCACATGATATACTACAATAGTAACTTCATCTTCGAGAGCTTTTGAGTTCTTGCACCTGGTTTGCGCTGGTTTCGTACGATGAATAATTATGCAAATGTTTTTATTTTCAGAGCGGGTAAGGGCCGGCATTCACTATATTCAAAACACCTGTGAATGGAAATGTTTGTGTTGCGATGAATTTTCGGATAATGGATCTACTGGAGTATATATTAGTGATGAAACCACACCATTAGTGGTTAGTGTAAACTTGTCCTGCTTTGAGGCAGCCATACACTGTGCTATCGTTAGAGCTGCTATAGTAACAGATGGATACATTCTCCAGTTAGCTAACAACAACAATTCTTCTAAGAACTCCTTGCTGTGCATGTACAGCGTGGAACCTACCAGACACAGAAGGTGTGTTATGGGGTAATTTTATCCAAGCCTACGATATTGAAGATCTATGAAAAGAGTTTATCACCTCATTTACTCAGATTAATTATCAACACAGCTCACTTCTCTGAGATCAAGGTTTGGTTTTGCACATAGCACTGTTTTTTTAATCGGCCAACCCACGAAAATGGGAAAACACACTCGAAAAAGGTTACAACTTCTCACTTTCTTGAGAGAGTCGGCATTGGAGCATGAGCTGGAACGTTTGTGGGAGAAGAAGTGGAAGAGTGGTTCCTCAGTGGTCCCGGCTTCGTCCCCCACCCCCTCCCCCTCAGGTGCCAAAGGCTATACATCAAACAAAGAGACGAAAGAGTGAGGAGGGAAAGGGTTAATTAATTAATGTTTGGTTTGTGCGTCTAAAACGACTTTCTATAGTACCAATGTACCAGGTCGAGTTGGGTTCCACGTTGCCATGGCGAGTTTCCATAGCAACAGCCTGGGTCGGCCAGCGATGTCAATGAATTGGCTCTTCTTCTGTTCTCAGCCTCCCCCTCTTCCTCCTCATCACCTGCACACACACACACACACACAGAGCACGTCAGGAATACACTGGACAAAGCTTCTTGTAGCTATACGTTGCTGCGAGGAAAGATTGGATTCCTGGCATTCCTGCCATTCTCGACATTAAACAATCGCTCCAAGGAATGCTCGGCTGAACCAGACGCCACAAGAGAGGCAGAGGAGGGGAGGAAGGGAGTGAAGGATGTGTGTAAGGTAGTGACATGAAAAAATGACAGAGAGAGCATTGCTTACCATTAAAAATACTAACCCAACACTACAATCATTTACATAGGGCGTACGTACGTACATATGGTATCATTCTAGACCATCTCTTTTCCTACTTTGCCTGTCCTACCATTACTCACTCGGTATGTATACGAAAACGCAGTATAAGAGAGTCGAAATAACCCACGGGCAGATAAAGCATTGGCGTAAGGGCACTATAAGCTATACAGCCGCTTAACTCAATTACTGCGCAGTGTCCAGCCAAATTAGCTAAGGAGCTTCCACAAACAACAAAGCTACAGGCACATGTAACTTACACCAAGACTATCGTCGTGCCCGCAGTATTGGCTTCCAGAGAACATACTTCAAGACCGAGTGTACCATATATACTTCAAACAGTGTACAGGTGTCCCTTTCTAGTTGTAATAGTTGCTCAGATAATGGTTTCGTACATGCAGAAGCTGCTTTGGATTACGCACGACGTAGGGACACGAGAAAGATCAAATGACGTACTAGTACACACGAACGTTAAAAAGAACAAAAGTTGACACATTGTAGCCACACGACCAGGATTCAACACGCTATTATCACATCTCAAAGACTAGACTTGGAACGCAGGAAGCAAGCTTGCTTTGGTATTAAAAAAAACATGAACTCCTACCCTCCCTCCCTCTTCCCTCTCTCTTGACTCACCTCTTCCAGATAGTGGCACGAGTATTGGCACGAGTATTCTCTCGTTCTGACCAGACCCGGGCGAGTCGGGAGACACGGGGAGTCCGGCTCGCCTCCCAGACACGGCCCCGGCGGGGGAGGAGGGGGAGGTAGAGGAGGTTGGGAAACGTCTGCCAGGTTGCTGGGACGGAGAACTGGACCCGTTGCTACTGGCGTTCCCCGTACCCAGTGCGTGCGTCGCTCGCAGCGGGCGAGGATAGCGAGAACTCTGCGGCGTAGACATCCAAAACTCTCTCCGTCTCTTCCTCTACTCTGCTTTCCCAATCCGTCTTGTAGCTGCGTCTCTCTCCACACACGCGCGTGTTTACGACCTGCGTGTGTCACCGAACGGCTAAGATCCTTGCAAACTGTGTAACAGAGAGATAAGGGATCGTTCTACGGGCAGATCCAAGTGCTAGGCTCCAGCCCAAGGCGTCGGACTGGCCCTCACTCACCCGACTACAGAACCGCTGCTCCTTTCAGCTACACACACTCTCGCTTTGCGCCAGGGCAAAGTGACCCGCCCCCCTTTTTCCTAATTATCTCCGGGGGTTCCTCTTTTGCTCTCTACCCTGCGGAATGGACGTTTTCGAGCTCTGCGGACGTCTGTATGCAGTGCTGCTCCTCTGCCAGTGTCTCCTGCAAAGACTAGTCCACTCCAAAGACGAAAGGTGTGCAAAATCCTCCGCTTTAGACCGCACACTCGCTACGGTGGAGTTGTGGTGCGCACTAAATGGAATTCGTGCATGCGCGCCATGGTGGTTGTGCCATGATGATTTGGCTGAGGGTGGACATTTTGACACATAATATATATTACACTGGAATCTCTCTCACTCTAAAGACACCCACTGAAACGGTGACACCTCTCTAATGAGGACACCTTTCCTTTCTCAAAAATCGGTTGTTGCGTGCAATGCGGACACTTTTCCCATTGGTGTCCAGATTATAGAGAGTTCCACTTTTGTAGAAAGTGCAATTTCAAGATATTGTATCAAGATATTGTAATACTGTATACTTTTACAAGGTTGTACACTATGTTGCTAGGGCAGTGTTCTGATTCTCTCTCCAGCTGCAAGTACAAGTTGGAGCCCCTGTGGACTGCATCGCTGCGAGACTCTCCGCTGGCTGCCACGCCCACTTTCTTCGACGTGGACGGAGACGGCTACGGAGACATAGTGGCTCCGTCGTTCTCAGGGGAGGTGTGGTCTGTTCACGGAGAGAGTGGTCACATTGTGGACAACTGGCCTTTCTATCTGGAGGAGAGGGCTTTTCACTCCAGCCCTTTAGTAGTCAGTCATGCACCATACATTGTATATAGATATTTCACTAGTAGTCCAGATACCAATAGGACAGAAGAAAGTGTCCGTATTAGTGAGGTTTTCCTTGTTTGAGGGGTTTAGTTGCAGGCAAGAACTATACATTCTTGGGGGAAAAGGAATGGTGTCCTTATTAGTCATTTTTGGGGATGTCCTTAGAGAGGGGTTCCAATGTATAATGTATTGTGCAATTCCTAGCTCACCTTCCTCCCCCCCTCTCTCTCTCTCTTGCTGATTGTAGTATGATGTGAACAAGGATGGAGTACTCGAGTTTTTGCTGGCAACATCAGACGGTGAAATCGTGTTTCTGCACACCAACAATTCCTTACTTCACGGAGAGACAATCAAGGTGTGATGATCTCATTTTGAACAAAAGAACTCTCTTACATTAATTAATGGCTAGCAGGCAGTTTCAACAAATCCTATACAAAAATATCCGTGCTTCAAATAGAAACTTTCAGATATCTGTCGAAATGCAATATTCGCAACTTTCTCTGTCTACACTGTGTGTGTGTGTGTGTGTGTGTGTGTGTGGTGTGTGTGTGTGTGTGTGTGGTGTGTGTGTGTGTGTGTGTGTGTGTGTGTGTGTGTGTGTGTGTGTTTGTGTGTGTGTGTGTGCAGATAGCACCTCTGAAGGTGAGACGAGAGTGGTACAAACTGGACAAAGAGTACATCGACAAGATTGCTCATGAACTCGGCAAACAGCTCGGGGACTCAGAAAGACTCAGAATAGTGAGTGGAGAATGAGAGAAAAAGAGAGAGAGGAGAGAAGAGAGTTGTAAATTCAGAACCCCTGAGTATTGAATTATGTTACCTTTTGCCCCCTCCTCTGCAGAGAGATAATTATTGGCTTGTATTGCAGGGGGCGGGGAACGAAGGGGGGCGAGAAAACAGGCCCCCTGCGGCAGACAAGGGCCCCTCGAATCTCCACCAGCACTCGGAGGCTTTCTCAGAGTTTGAGAGTCGCTACGGGCTCCACGCGGACCCCCTCTATTCCCGCCACCAGAGAGAGAAATTCCTCCTGGGTCTTTCCCCGGGGGATGTGCACAATGTGTTCGTCGAACCACATATTCTGGCCACGCCCACTCTGGCCGATACGAATGGAGACGGGAATTTTAACGAACTTGTTGTCCCCGTATCGTACTATTTCGACCCGTTTTACTACGGGGACCCCCACAATCTGGGGAAGTTAGGGGGGCTGGATTCGGGGGAACTGGTGCATTTCGTTGCCGGGGGTGTAGTCGTTATTGATTTAAGTATAGGGGCAGTGGTAGGGCAGAAAGTTCTCGGGTTGACTGAAGCTACTGACAGCCAACCTGCCTACATGTTATCTTCTCCAACTGTCGTTAGGATGTTTCCGGATGTGGGTGGAGCCGTCATCATCACCGCCACGGCAACGGGCGAGGTAAACATGTTGGAAGCTGAGAGTCTGGAATCGGTATCAGGATTTCCGGTACGTCTCGATTCCGTGTCGGCCAGTGTTGCAGTCGCAGATCTGTTCAAGGACGGAGTGCTGGAACTGGTTGTCGGGGACAACAGTGGAAATATTTACTGCATTGACTCTCGCGGGAAGAGAAGGTGGGAATTTGAAGCACGGGAATCCGTCAAGAGGAGAGTTATGTTTGTAACCTCACCTCAAACTCGATTCTCCCCGCCCCTTTCTCCCTATGCTCCCCCAAACCTTGCACCCATACTTATCCCTAGTTATTCCCCCCCCTTATTTTTTCTTCCCCTATCGTTCCTCGCTTTCCACCAACCACTTATTCAAAAACCCCCAGACCTCCCCCCCAGATTCACCGATTTTGACGGCGATTCTGAACTCGATGTTGTGTTTGTCACGACCTATGGAAGTCTGTGGGTCCTGCGCGGAGTATCCGGTACTCCATTCCCGGGGTACCCCGTTCGCCTGAACACCCATACCCAATCGGCCCCACC